AGTGCTGGAGCACGGTCCAAATAAACTTCGCGAATATCTTTAGTTGCAGCGCCTACTGTTTTTCCTTTGCGGAATTCGTATAACATAATATGACGCATATGATCTTTTTCGTTGTCCATCTTCCATGCGTCTTTTCACTAAGCAACTCAAATCAAAATGAAGTTATTTTATGCTTGATTTACAGTTCGGACTGTCACCTTTCCAACGATATATAATATGTATATATTTCTTTCACGAGCGCCACTCTCAAACGATTCGAACGGCATCCAGCAGAATCGGGCACGAACTTATGCACTCAACCAATAGTTCATAGTTCTTATCTGAGGTCAACTTTAATGTTCCAGCTCGTGTATCCGGGCAGTTTAAGTTTTTACTATTAAAGTCATGTAAAACAATTTATGAGTTAAATGAACCCTTTCAACGATTATGTCACAATTTTAATTTTCATTCCAGCACCTTCGATCTCTCAGACTGACTTATTAGCATCAATAAAATTATTCTTACTTCTCTCAACAATTAAATTTTAAAATTCCTTAATTACTAAATTTCAGCTGTTGAATAATTATTTTTTCTGTAGCTGAACAGTTTTAAATCTCGATACTTAACAAATGCTTCCCCATCATCGGCATGAGCATATGCCGTACGTTATACGAATGTCGCCTCTCGTGCCGCTTGGGCTGATGAAGGGTGTTCGTTGGACTTATGAATATTATTACAAAATTATTAATTCAGTACACTTACATTCTGCATAGGCCACGTTGCCACGTAAAGACAGCAATGCCTGGATACTATAGCTAACCCCATTCCTACTCGTGCAGACTAGATTAAGTTGTAACCAACGCTTGTTCTGCTTACAATAAGTTCCCGCTCGCCACTAACAATTTTATATATATCATCCAAAACCCCCCTACCTATGGTCCGAACCCGTCAAATCAGCTCGGTTTTTGGCCCTGTCAGACATATGTTGTCGTTAGATGACCCCAACGACTAACTTCGCTTTCTATTAAACCTGTCTGCTACAAAAAAAAACAGCAACAGGACTTTTTCCTTTCCTTTTTTGTTTTATGAGCTAACTTTTTTGGCAGTCTTGTGAAGTGCGTAAAATACCAATTTAATCTTGACTCAAGCTTATCTAAACATTTTTACTCAATCAAGTTCGGAGAGATGTGTACATAGCAGCTAATGGCCCAAGGCAGTAATGAATCCTCTTAACGGTCTTACTTTTATTTTAATATGTTATATATTCGTATCTGTATGTATTTGAGCTGTCAAGTGTTTTGCATGTTTTATTATTGCACACCAAATATTATTTATTTTATATACATACATATATATTTTCATTTACAAACATATGTTTTATGTAAATGTTTTGATATATTATTTTGGTTTTGCCATTTTTTGTATTTTTTTCATTTTTTTATTTTTATTATTATTTTTATTCTATTTATTTTTTATATCACAATTTTTTTATTTTTATTATTATTTTTATTCTATTTATTTTTTTATATCACAATTTTTTTTACTTTTTCATTTTCTTATTTCTTTATCTTCTTTTTTTTATATATTGTATTTATTTCTTTTGTTTATTTTTTATATTTTTTTTTGTATTTTGTTGTTTTAACTTTTATTGTTTTCCTTACATATTTGTTATATATGCAATTTATATAATTTTTTTCGAAATTTTTTAACGTTTATCGTGGTATCTGCGCGTTATACTTACTTATACAATATAAAAAAAAAGGTGAAAACAATTTCGTACAACACCTTCGTCGGTCACTCAAATTCAATGAGTTTTTTTGGCTTGAAATTTCTTATTATTTTTTATTTGCCGATGTCAAGGCCCCTACACATTTCTACTATATATAATGCATACATATCTACATGTACTTGCACATATGCGGGTGTATAGCAAAACAATTGTATAGACGAACAGCTGTACTTTATCCAAAATACATGCACATACTGTTTTCTTAATTAAATAGGCTTCTACGTATGTATATACATACATACTCCTATGTAATATACAAGCATTGAAATAACCATTTTGGTTGCGCTGCTATTTTTGTATTTTAAAATTTATTTATGCTTTTTCAAATATAATTAGAATTTTAATTTTTATATAGAAAGAAAGAATTCTTTTAAATTAATATTTATTCGTAGGCAAAATTTGTGCTTAAATGGCGCGTAGAATCTTCGAAATAATTGAACAGTGTTTGATATGGTAAAATAATTTTTTTTTTTACTTTTTTCATTTTGCAAATTATGATTTTTTTTTTTAAATTTGTTAAAATTGGTAAATGAAAAAAGGGTATTTTTTTTAATTTTAGAATAATAACCATTTAAAAATACCTTAAATCTCAACAACAGAATGAACAAGTAAATTATTCCAAATATTTTAAAATTTTAATATTACATAAAATTATTATTATATATTACTTTTTATAATTTCTTTTATAAGTTCAGTCGAATCTCTTAGCACTTCGCAGCATAACACCCTGTTTTTTTTTGTGTTTGTTTTTTGCTTAAAAGTGCCTATTCGCAGAATAAAAGCAGAAACTACCAAAAACTCAAGGCAAATCTATAACTAATCAACAACCTATCTACCTACACACGTAAATCTCTGTATATACATACAATACAAACAAAAATACCCATACCGACGTACATACGTACGTACATAAATGAAGATAAAAGATATTCCAAATTCGAAAAATTAAAGAAACAAAATTTGAGCGCAAACCGCACACTGACAACAAAACACAAAAACAACAACAACGACAAACACAACAACACCATACAGCATTCAACGAAATAAATAAAATGTAGGCAAAAATCAAAAAAAAAAAATAAAAAAAAACGAAAACGAAAACGAAACAACACACATCAAAAATAAGTAAAAATGCTAAAAATAAAATTTATTTAAAGAAATGAAACCATGAAAATTTTCGAAAAGCCGAAAAATGAGTGGAAAACTTTTGAAAGCTATAGGCAAGAGCAGCGCGCGAAAATGTATGAAAATATGTATGTAATATAATTTGTGTATTGGAAATTGAAATTTTGAAGGTAAAGAAAATTGGATGGAAAACTAGATACTGCAAAGAAAAGTTTTTTATTTTTTTCGAAAAACTAGATGCTGCAAAGAAAAGTTTTTTATTTTTTCGAAAATTAAAAATTAAATAAATTTAAATCAAAAATATTAGAATAGGAGGTTTACGAAGCATTTAGGAAATACTCTCGTTTCAATAATTTAATTTATAAAATTATAGAAATAAATAATTGAAAAAGACGTAAGAATTTTTTTAAATTATAAAAATTAAAAAAAAATTTATAATTCCATTATTAGGTAGGGCTACGCTGCGTATGCGTGACTTTCTTGTACAATATCCCTATAGAGAATCTATTAAATTTTGACATATTAACTTTATAAATACCTATATAACCTACATGCGGATGGCCATGGGCGCGCACCTTCATTAGGTTAACATCCGAAGTTATTGGAAATTAATTTAAAAAATATATATATTTTTCTAATTGCGGTCGCCCATCGACAGGGTATGTCCGATCCCTCGGAGTGTATTTCGAAGCAAAAGTTGAGCATAACAAAGCCTACAGCCGTTGGTATACGGCTTGCCATAAACTATTGATCACCCACTTGCTTGGGGAAGGCGCTCCGTTGAAAACAGAATAAAAAAAACAATAGCTTATTTAATTTTCATGATTTCATGAGTAAGATAAAAAGACACATTTAAATTAGACTTGTAGGAAAAAAAGCTCATCAGGTGTTTAGTCCTCAAATTATCTCTAACTCGGTGTTTTATTAAAATTAATTAATGCACCATCGGTATATTTCTTAAAAAAAAATAAATACTGCTGTATTTGAACCAGATGACAGCTCAGTTCAAACATGACAATAACCCGAAAAGATTTTTTCGCAGCGAGCTAGGTGATTTAATAAAAAACGATACTAAATTTTGCAAGGATCAAGGGCCAAAGCTAGTAACATTTGGACTATTGCCAGGAGTGACTTCCCTCTTGTTTAGATGCTATTCACCTCCTAAGTCGACCAAGAGGACGATTTGTTGTATTGGTTTAAGATCTCACCCAGCATGGAGTCGTATTTTCATAGACTCTTCAAGAATCAAGCAAAAGCCGCTACGAAGTTCTGCTTCTCCTTAAATAAATCTACAAGAATTCGAGATTGGTTTTCTATATACGTGTATAAAAAATATAACAAACCACTGAACCAAAACTATTTGCCTCCGAGATAGCTTGAAGCTATGGCGTCTTCTCATCGACGGTAGAAAACTACCGCCATATAGAGCTGGGATTAATGAAAGACTCACTTCTCTCACTTCCAAGGGAGATATTTAAAATCAAAGTATCGGTGATGGGGTTTTTAATGAACCACCAGATATTAGACGACTTATACCTGACCTGCAATTCATTACAATCATGACAGATCCTGACAGATTAAGGTGGATTGGCTTGAGAGAGGTCATAAGGATTTTTTTTTTTTGCTTTCCAGAACTGTTAGATGTGAGAGTGAAGAACAGGGTGAAAACTTTCATTGAGATATTAAATATCACAATACCAAGGAAAGAAACCTTATAGATGATTCCTACATCCGAAATATTACCAAAAGGAGGCCCACAGAGCGTCCGTACAACCAAAAATATAAGAACGACATATGAAAACCAAAACAACTCTCAAACGTTTTTGGTTATCTGCGTTATAGAATCATTTGGTATTGTAAATACCGAACGCTTTCAAAAAAAAAAAAATTTTTTCAAAAAAAAAAATATTTTTTCAAAAAAAAATTTAAAAAAATATCAGAATTTATTATTTTCCACCACACATTTGCTGTCGTACTCACATTATGAAAATGATTTAGTTATTTTCTTATTACTAAATTTTGCAATTTTTTTTTTTTTTTTTTTGATATTAAAAACGTACGTAACGTTTGTATGTATGAATATGTATATCAGCACATTTCTTCATACCTTATTTGTATATTTTTGCCGTATAGCGCGCTCAACACCGGTAGATATTTTGTAGTTGTTCTGCAAAATCGGTTTCGCTATTGTTGTTGCTGTTTACTGCTGTTGTGATTTTATTTTTATTTTTTTATTTTTTGTAGTTTATTGCTGCTGTGGTGGTTGTAAGTAGTGGTTGTAAGCTTAAAACTTTTGTTTGTTGTTGTAGTGGTTTTTTTTATGTTTCAATGATGGTTTCGATTTTGCACGATTTTATTTTTATTTACTACCTATGAAAATATATGTATGTATATGAAGGGTGCGCGCTGAGTGAAGAAAGAAATTTAAAGAATAATTAAAAAAATAAAAAAAAAAATTTTAAATAATATTTATCAAAAATTTAAAACATAAATTAACAAAAATTTATTTAAATAATATATTTAAAAAATAAATTTGAAAAAATTATGAAAAAATTTAAAAAATCTTTTAAAAAAGAAATTAAAAAGAAAATTAATTAAAAATAAATTTAAAAAATTCATATATATAAAAATATTACAAAATGATAATATTAAAAAAAATATGTAAACAAAATTAATTTAAAAGATTGTTTAAAAAATTTTGCAAAAAAAAAATTTACAAAAAACTTTTTAATAAAAAATCACTTTCTGTAAAAACGAAATAAAAAAATTTCATTTCAAAACACTACGCGGGCACAGTTAAAAGTTTAAAAAATTTTTTGAAAAAGAAATTAAAAAGAAAATTAACAAAAAAAATTAATTAATAAATAAAATAAATTTAAAAAATACATAAAAAATTTCACAAAAAACTTTTTAATAAAAAATCACTTTCTGTAAAAACGAAATAAAAAAATTTCATTTCACTACACGGGCACAGTTAAAAGTTCTGCGTTTTTTTTTAACTCAAAAAAAGCTGTTTTCATTTCTGGTTAAATTAATTTAATTTTATTAGTTCTTCACTAATTTTTATTTGCATATTGTTGATTTTCTTTTATTTTTATTCATTTATTTATTTATTTAATTTTTTTTTTTTGTCTCGAACATTTATAATATTGTCATCCATTGACTGCTAACTGAACTCACTCACTTGATCAGCGTTCATTCGTGCACGCTCACACGATTATTCAACAGCGCCAACGGACGACCAAAAAACACTGACCGGAACACACTGTTAGCGGAGCCAGCCAACCAACCAACAACCGACAGATACAAAGATAGATCAGATACTAGTCGTAATTCGCTTGAGATTTTACGCTGGCAGCCAGCCGTCTCACGCTTCTATGTCTGTCTGTGGGCTGTTACGGCGGAGTATTATTGTTGTTGTTGGTTTACTTGCTGAGCGTTTAAATTTTTTATGTTATATTTTTAATTTTTTTAAATTTATTTTTTGCTTTTTTTTATTGCGTTTAATATTGACCACATATGGCAGATGACATTATGTACAGTTTGAGTGCCAATTGAAGAGTAAATCCATGAACTCTGTGATGTATGTATATTTGCGAGAGCATAAATTTAACGGATTGTCGTGCTTTGGTGGAAAAAAGTATTGAACTTTTAAGCTAAAAATTAGGCAATTTTCGGACCTGACGGTAATTCGCACTAAAATATTTGGCACATAAAATAAGTTTGCACTATAAAGAACACCTCAACACGTTCTTCATAAACACTTTTTGTTAAAAAATTTCGATTTTCTGTTAGAAAAGCTACCATTTAATGCCATAAACACCGTGAAAATTAAAAAGGAAAAATTTTCAATGATCGTGTATTGGGCTGAGCAACAAGCAGGTGGGATTAACCAGAGGGATTGCGAAGAAGAGCACATTTGTTACACAGTTCACCTCTGCTAGCAGCAGAGTGTATGCTCATAAATAGTTAAAAAAAAAAATAATACATACTATATTAGGAAAAAATATAAAAATACACATATATATGTGCATATGTATATAAGTATGTACAGTTTATTGTTTTAAGATTCACCGTGAGCATAAAAAAAGCACGCTCACATTCACCACCATCGCGCTCTCACGAAAATCGCACGCGATTCTGACGTAAAACGTTAACGAGTGTGTAAAAAAAAAAAACAATCGTAAATCGTCAAATCGTCTGTGTATTTTGGGTTGGGTTAGAAAATTCACTCTTGCATGTAGATACTCTTCGGAGCGTCGTTGACGTTGTTGAGATACGTATTTTGTATATCCAATGAACTTCGTACGTATACGTGTAGATTGGAGATCACAACAAACCTGTTTTCTGTCTCGTGTTACGCGTACGCGTCTATCGCCAACAGCAGCTGATTCGATACTGACGAACGGAAAGCTTTAGCGCTTTTTATTTCGATTATTTATGTACATATATTCAGCAGTGGCCAATCATGAAGAAAACTGGAAAATTGTACGTAAAATTATTTTAAAACAGAGTGATCATCGTTTTACTTTATTAGCTTAATTTGTAGTTGTTTCTTTTTTTCGAGAGAGAGGGAGAGAGGGAAAAAGAGCTTCCGAGCTTACTTCTCTCTTCGATCGTTACCATCGAAAGCTCTAGTAAGGCGGTGTTTACATGCTGAAAAATGAGTTTAGCGAAGAATTTATAGCTCAGTTATGCGTGCTTAGGAAACTTACACTTAAGCATAGCACTTATTGAATTATATTATAAAAATGCCTGCTCTGTTAAGAAAGTCCAACGCGCGCTTCGAAGATAATTTTTGGCTTAATAGGTGCGTAAATAAGCAGAATTTTCGATTTTGGAGAGAAGATCAGCCAGAAGCATTGCAAGAGCTACCAAGGCTTACAGAAAAAGTGACAGTTTGGTGCAGTTTATGGGCTGGTTGCATCATTGGTCCGTACTTCTTCAAAGATGATGCGAATCGTAATGTAACTGTGAGATAATTTAAACTTTTTTTCCAAAATGCAAGAGCTTGACTTGCTTGACATGTGGTTTCAACAAGACGGTGCCACATGCTACACAGTACTTATACTTATAGAAGGCCGAGTTGGATAAACTGTTGACTTCACGCTCGGGACCGGTCAATTGGCTGCCTAGATCGTGTGGTTTAACGCCTTTAGACTATTTTTTGTGGAAATATCTTAAATCTAACGATCTAATGTCTATACAGACAAGTCCGCTTCAATTGACGCATTGGAGGAGAACATTGAAGCATTTATTCGTGAGATACCGACCGAAATGTTGGAAAGAGTATGCCAAAGTCTGACTAAGCGGATGGACCATTTGAGGCGTAGTCACGGTCAACATTTGCATGAAATAATCTTCTAACATTAAAGTAGATATTGTCAATCATTCCAAAAGTATTTCTGACATGAAATAAAGGCATGGAATGCATCAAGAGACACACCACAAATTGGAGAATGAACTCGGTCGAAATTGTTTCAGCGGTGCTTCGGGTTGTCTAGTTTTGTTGAATTTTCTCAATAACTGAGGGACTATTCGTCATTCCGAGCTCGATCGGTATAAATCTTGATGGAACTATCTCTTCTTCTTCTTCTGGTATTTACATACTTCAGATAAAAATCAAAATAACAATTAATGTACGAATGGGTCCATGGCAATATCACTGAGAATCCATAGAGCACTCAACCGCTAGTCGAACCAATGTGTAGAGCAGACATATAGATAAATATATTTTTAAGGAGGACACGCACCATGACCAGTGGTCAATAGGGCCCTCCGATTTTTTCATGCTCCGGCTGAATGACTCCAACGCGTGTGACTGCGAGCTACTTTAACCTTGAAACAACCGACACCGCTATGTAAATGTGTTCTAATAAGTACGGCACCGAGGTTGTCCGCTGGGTTGAAAACAGGCCACATAACAACAGACAGCAGGTGAGAACTTGAAAATTTAATGACGGTCACACCAAATGTACTAAGTATGCACCTTGAAAGTCCCAGCTGGTTAAGACTGGCACCATCGCCGTCCACCATATGCGATGGTCGGGAGAGGTCACTGAAAAGGATGAATACTTGTGACATTTATTACAGTGATCACTGGGGACTATCGTGCAATTTGTCAACAAGCAAACAGCTGGAGTACTCACGTTTGGGGCTCCCACATCCCTGTGAACTTAAAAGTCGTAGATAATTTAGTCCAACCAGGGATCAGCACCACTGAAAATAATTCCATACTGATGCAACTTTGAACTGAATGGGAAGTTGAAAAGTAAAAGCGTATATCGATGAAGAAATCAAGCTCATAGACGATGTCAAGAGCCCCCTTCGGGTTAGTGATTTCATTAGTTCACCAAGTCGTAAGTGGCGACAAAAATCCATTAGTTTCCGCGATAGTCGGGTCTATATACCGGAACGACCCGGATTTTTATCCGACGGATTGTAACTTCCGCAACATTCACCAAAAACTTCTTTGGGGAATATTTTTGCCGCTACAACAACAACATAACATCTGATATATCAAATTTGGAAGTTTTCAAGAGAAAGGCATAGCGCGAAATGTATGATCCTTTGGGCAGTGGCAATGGCAATGTCGAAAACCGCAGAGGTTAGAACAATGAGCTGTACGAAGCTGTGAAGGTATGCGATGTAGTAGGCACTGGTGGAACCATAAATAACGCCTTCAAAAAATCACTGCTTGGTGGAGAAAACATGTCCTCAGTAGCAGCAGAGCCGTCAAAAAGAAGAGTGGTGCTCAATCATCATTCCATCTGCAAATCCGTAAGCTACGCCACCAAAAACCTTCCTTAGTTTTTTGAAGTTTGAAATTTTTAAAATTATTGATTTAAACAACTCAAAAGTTTTCATATACGTACATATAAATCTATTTATGTATTTTTTTTTAACTGAATTTGCGTAGAAATATTCAACAATGATGATGCAAAATGTGATTTTCAGTATTGAATAAATTAATAATCAGTTAAAGTGACAGTAGGAGGAAACAATAAATGCTTATTTTAGTAAAATAAAATAAAAAAAAGAAATCAAACAGATTCATAGCGTGATTTCATCATTTTCTTAATGTATGTTTTATAGTCTTCACCGGGTGTAATACCAGACTTGTTACCCAAACCAACAGTAGACGAGCGTGCCTCTGCCTAAAAGCAATAAATATATTTTTATTAATATATTAATATTGTTGTTTTGATTTAAGCAAATTCAAACCTCAATTATACTTGTGCGTCCTTGATTTTTACGACCCAAGCCCTGACCCTCGGACCAACCCATCTTCTGTAACAGACGATTGCCAACATTGTTGGAACCTATCGGCATAGGCGGCGCTTCCGGTTGACGCGATGCCATCGATTTCATTTCCATTTCGAAACGTTCACGACTACGATTCGCCACCGGTGGATCGCTTTCACCATATTTCTGTCGGCGCTCTTTGGCACGATCCCTATAGTTGCTACTGCAAAATTTTTGCAAAAACAAATAGGAAAATATTACAACACAGTTATTTTAAAAATTGTCAAAGTGAAATATTTACGCTAAGTTTGTATTCGCAGCTGCATTTGCGCTGGCACCACGCGCTAAATTGAACTTTTGCAAATTTTGTTTGTGTAAGTCAGATATTTTTAAATGTTTCTGCAAGATTTCCAGCGACTGGAAAGCCCGTTTGCACAGCAGACATGTGAGTTTTTGAAAATCGACATAATCCTTTTCACTGGCCTCTCCGACGCTGCCAGTGCCACCCACTGATGCTGACGGCGCAGCATGATCCTCATCTGAGTCGGACGCATAGGCTGTGAGCTTATTACTACTACTCGCCGCTGTCGGCAAATAATCTACCAATTTGGCACGTTCCTTCTTCTCTAATATAGAGAAGCCAACGTCGGCATAACCGCTTGAAAGAAGTCCGCTTGAGCTGCTACTAGTTACGCTTACTGTACGCAACGGCACGTCGTCTGTCTTGGAAGGTAAAATAGGTTGCGGCGTGGCCACTACTGTGTAATCTTTCTTTTGATTCAACTGTTTGGCCCATTTCTCCATATCCTTTACAATTTTCTTAGCTACCTTCACCTTATCATGTTTATTCGCTCCATCCTTTTTATCTTTTTTTTCATCGTCATTGCCTGTCACTGTGGCAGCAGCTGCTGATGTGGTTGCTTTGCCATCATCTCCTGCTTCGCTGTTCACAACATCCTGCACGGTGGCAGCGGCAGCTGCTGGTGTGGCCAAAACATATGTGCTCTTACGCTGATCCCAGTAGAGATAAGCGCCTGTTTCGCTGTTATAATAGTATTGGGAATGTGCATCGTAATACAGGCCGGTTGTGGGATCATAATAATAGCCTGAGGTCTCGTCATATTGATATAGAGTGACATCGGGTGTAGCTGCAATGAAAAATTTTGGTGTTTTTTTTTTTTTTCAATAATAACCAGCAGAGTCCAAGTATGTATTATACTTACGATAAGTTTTGCCATCGTTTCCTTTCGGTGTAACTACATTCTTCAACGCTAAACTTGCTTTCACGGCGGCCGCAGCCGCTGCAGCAGCAGCTGCTGCTTGTGTGGCTGTTGTTTCAATGCTATTCATTTTCTTTTGTTTTCGTTGTATGGCAGAAAGTGCCACAGCGGCTGCCGAATTCGCTGACGTTTCCGCCAACTGGGCCGAACTAGGCAAATTTCCATAATGTCCCTTATTTATCTCACTAATGTAATATTCGGTGTAGTATTGTAGATAATGCGCTTGTTCCGCTGGTGTTGATGCATACAAAGCTGCGCTATACTCGGCCAAGCGGGGCACATCAGCTAAGGTGTACTCCGAACCGGCGGCCAAAGAACTTCCAGCAGCCATCATCTCAGCAGCTGTCATCGGGCCAATAGAGGAACCGCCCGCGGCGCCGGAATCTCCTTTCTTGGGCACGATTTGACGATTCTCGTGGTCTATGCAGTAACTGACGAGTACTGGAAAAACATAAAAATAATAAGTAGGAACATTTAATAATAAAATAATAATAATAACAAAATAATAATAATAATGGCAATACTACTAATAATAATAATAATAATAACAATAATAAAATAATAATAATAACAAAATAATAATAAGAAAAATAATAATAATAATAATAATAATAATAATAATAATAATAATAATAATAATAATAATAATAATAATAATAATAATAATAATAATAATAATAATAATAATAATAATAATAATAATAATAATAATAATAATAATAATAATAATAATAATAATAATAATAATAATAATAATAATAATAATAATAATAATAATAATAATAATAATAATAATAATAATAATAATAATAATAATAATAATAATAATAATAATAATAATAATAATAATAATAATAATAATAATAATAATAATAATAATAATAATAATAATAATAATAATAATAATAATAATAATAATAATAATAATAATAATAATAATAATAATAATAATAATAATAATAATAATAATAATAATAATAATAATAATAATAATAATAATAATAATAATAATAATAATAATAATAATAATAATAATAATAATAATAATAATAATAATAATAATAATAATAATAATAATAATAATAATAATAATAATAATAATAATAATAATAATAATAATAATAATAATAATAATAATAATAATAATAATAATAATAATAATAATAATAATAATAATAATAATAATAATAATAATAATAATAATAATAATAATAATAATAATAATAATAATAATAATAATAATAATAATAATAATAATAATAATAATAATAATAATAATAATAATAATAATAATAATAATAATAATAATAATAATAATAATAATAATAATAATAATAATAATAATAATAATAATAATAATAATAATAATAATAATAATAATAATAATAATAATAATAATAATAATAATAATAATAATAATAATAATNATTTTTTTTTTTTTTTTTTTTGCAATATCGCTTAGTATTTTAGCAATTAGTTTGTATGATATACTTTTCGTTAAGATGTTGCTAACTTCATCGCTACCCTCGCCGATTTTTTCGCTATCCTCACGCGACGCATAACATTTAAAACAGAGAAAACGTCGTTTGAAATTCAAAACGCCACACTGCGGTAAATAAGAATTTTTGGTTTTAATATATATATATAGATATGGACTTGGAGATGTCGTATGCATGTACATACCTTGCCACAATGCCAATCAGTGGCATTTGCTTTTTGCTTAGGTGAGACACTGTACTGTAGATTGGCAATCGATTGATCCGGCAACTGTATTGTGCCCTAGAATGCATGAAAAGGGAAGAGAATGAAAGATAAAAGGAATATATTAATAACGATTGACTTTTAAGGTTCCCACAGACTACACAGTCACCGATTGGTTGATTGCATTTGGTTTGTAATGTTGCAGGTAGCACTCGCTTTTACGCATCAAATAAGAACTCGAACATGACGCATCTATGACGTTATGTATGTTTGTTTCGTACTTCTCAATATGTTAATGCTATTTTCAGCTCAATTAATGTGCAATGTATGAAAAATTTCTTAACCCTGCGCATACGTACATATTTATTTTATGATATTCATTTTAGCATGTCTGTAATATGACTAAGTAAACTTTCGTAATTTCACGCATTACTTCTTAGGTATCACCTGACTAATAGTGTTAAAGGTTGTAAATTTTTAATATAAAGAAAAAAAAGCACTCTTTCTGAGAGTTAATTGGTATTTCGTAAAAAATCTGTTAAAAAGTAATATTACATTTTTTTCTCAACAAAATAACATTTTAACTATTATCAAAACTATGGATTTACAAAAATTTGAAAAATCATTTTTTTAATTTAATTGTTCCATGTGTTAACGAATGTGTTCGTTAAATTAAAATTTCCCGAAATATATACTGCATAATCTTTTCCAGTTTTACTTGCTTCCCTTCCTTCTCAAAACTAAGACACATAATAGTAATGAAAAAAACATCATAATAATCTACTCATACTTATACATTTTTGAAAATACAATGTAATGCGCTTCGAAACTGTGATCTGAGATCTTTTCATGGGTGTGTGTAGAGGTGGTTGAGCAACAAGTGATACCTGGGTTAACTCCATCCAACGTGCAGCTTCATCAATGGTACTAAACTCGACGAAAGCGAAACCTCGTGATGCACCTAAATTTTAGATAGAAGTAAATACAAAATATTTACGTCAAAAAATGATGTATTTTTGTTGTTGTTGAAAATAGTTGGATTTTTTTTTTTACTAAAGTGGATTTGCAACAAATATCGTTTCATGTCGTTATTTCAATTATTACAAGCAAGCTATAGCGTATAGTTGTTTGTAGAACTTTTTTATTGTAGCTGCTGCTGTATATTTTGTAACCGTTGTAAATATATGTCTGCCACATATTTTTTTAGGCACTCTGGCTTTTCTATTTTCATCCAATACTTACGTGTGAGTTATTTTAATTTTTTCCAGCACTAACTTAAAACTAGTATTCTACGATATTTTTTTATAAAAATTTAAATAAATTTAAACCCACCTGTTGGTCGTTTGCGTATAAGACGTATTGATGCAGTCATGCCTTGTTGTATCAATATACTCATAAGCTGTATATTAAAGAAATTAGTTCTGATTAAGAAATTAATTTAGTTACTTGCAATACTTACATCTGCTTCGGTTATATGCGATTGTAAACCCAGTACAATTATTGTATTTGATGGGGTTTTATTGTTGAGATGTTTCTGAAAACTTTCATCGCTGTCATCACTATCACGATCATTATCGTAGCGTCGTCCATGCCGACCATGGCGATTGTCTCTATAAAACAGAAATAGAATATATATAGTACTTTAGAACATTTAATTGCAAATTACAATTTCTTTACCTTCCATCACGATCTCTTTCATAATCCCGGTCACGTTCTCTCTCACGATCGTAGTCACGGCCTTTATCTCTGCCGCGTTCATTCCAAAAACGTTCGCGTTCATCATTATAATCGTCATCACCGCCACCACGAGTACGATGGCCACGGCCATTATAGTTTTTATCATCCTGATAGTCATCAAATATCAAATCACGATATAAATCTTTTTCTCCACTGCCGCCGCGTCGATGTGGTCCGATATGATCTCGTGATCTAGAGCGACTATTGCGGCGGCGAATATTTTGATCGCGACTGCGTTCACTGAAAAAGATATGCTATTCAATATGCGAAAGTAATACGAACCATTTCATTAGTGCATCTATACATACCGTGACCTTGAACGCGAGCGGGAACGACTATAACGACGGTAGTCCCGTCGTGAGCCACCACCTCCAGCCATGTTACCACCATTCCGGTGCCGGCGTGTGCCTGGCGATATGCTACGTGAACCTAAGCATTAAATCAATTAAATTGCAAATAAAACAGAAATTTACCATAGTACAGGGAATATGCAGGGTAAGATATATTAATTTCATTAGAGAATAGAAAACTCACGCCTATCCATATTCATTACTTCGCCACACTTTTTTACACAATTTTTAAACGAGTTACAAGATTGATGTATTCTTGTTGTTCTTAATTTACTTTGTGGTAAAGAACATTGAACGCTGTTGTTTTAATTTTTCATGAGTCTACTATTATATTTATATTTCTTTACACTTTTATGAAAAAATTGATCTTGTTATAATTAACTTTGTATAGATTTTCACAGGAAGAAAAACGCTCGATTAAAACTTAAATCGATTTTTCTTTTTTGACATTAGCGGTTTCGACGAGTAAAGAGTAACGAGTAGAGATGGAAAATTATACGAAGACCACACTTATCTGCAAATAGAAAACGTATGTTTAGCCTTAATTCTCTGATAAAAATTCTCAAATATATTGTACAGTTTTTCTATTTAGTAGATTTCAATTAACTTTTACTTATACTGTTCTTTGTCCCTTTTTATTAATATTTGTTCTTGGTTGTTGGAATTTTTTTATTTAACTTCGATCATACCGTTACTTCGCTTAATAAGAAGAAGCAGAACGACTTTAGTATATTGAGCACGATAAAGGGTATTTCCCCAAATTGAGAAATACAAGTGAACTTTGAAAAAACATCTGACTTGATATTTTTAGTTGTAGTTGCATTAAAAGTCTCACATAATTGTACATAAAAAGTTTTTATAGTAATGAAGAAGGTCATATTGACAAAGAGTAGTAATAGGGAATTTGCAACTACCATGAAGGTAACCAGTCCTGATAACGCTAAATCAAAAATAGATTATTCAGAACTATTTCGTGTTGTTCTAAAAATACCCGAAAAAGATGTACAACTACGTATTTTGGATGCAGTTAATGGCAGAACTTCTACTGGAAATATTGTGCACGCCATATGCCCAAATTGCAAACATACCTTTGACAATGCGGTGCTGTCAGGCAAGGAAGCGGGCACTCAAACAGATTTCCTTGAAGGAGCCAATAAATCAGATACAACAGTGGTTGTACCAATGGATGTGACGCAAACCGTTTCTATTTCAAGTAGCAATGGTCAGGATTTTAATATAATGTCGCCAGTTTTGCAAAAAGCTAAAGTCTCCTTATCAGCAAAACAAAACCTGTCTACAATACCTCAAAATTTAACGGTATCAAAGGATACAGAAAGTAGTCAAACTCCAAATATGATTGAACCACAATCAGCCGATGCAACCGCAGTTACTTCTAACCTACCAATGAAAAGAAAGCGGAAGCGGAAGGTTTGCTTGCCTCAAGTTGTAAAACGATCACATGCCCAAATGGCACTTACACATATGCAACCAAGATTGAAAAGTAGAAAAGTTCAAAAGGTATCAAAGATTTAATTAATATTTGTATTCATAAGGTAAATCATACATATATATGTATGTACATATTTTAAGAGTCCAGAATTGTATCAAAAGGCATCAGATGATGGGAATGACGCGTGCCGTCGTGACTCCATCAGTTCTCTTGATTCTGATTTAATAAAAGACGTGCTTTGGCTTTCACCGGATGAACATAAATCAAAAGAGGATCATATAATGCGCACCATGGCCGAAGAATGTTTGGAGGCAGATCGACGAACAGAAGGACTGCTGTAAGCATTTTTTCTTATATAATTATTATTTAAATTAATTTGAATTTTTTTTCCATTCAGAACTATACACCGCACTATAGTTCAAAATGATTTGTATGCGTTGCGAAGACAAATATTTGTTTGGAAGAAATTTAAAAAAGTGCAGGACTTAAACTACCTACTTACCGATGAAGATGAAGTAAGTTTTGTCTACAAAAAAAAAATTGTATTTTATACTTCTAAAACTCAAAGTAGTATGTATTAATAATTATATATTCATACATAAGTATATTTTTTTTGTTTCAGAATTGTTTGCAATTGGCAATTGCTCAAGATTGTTTTCCCAAAATCATTGATGTTTTGATAAGTGAGGGCTTAAACGCCAACGAAATCGACTGTCATTCCAATACATGTGTTCATTTAGCCATTCTAAACGAAATTGAAAACGAATCGCTACGTTTGCTCATGCGAAAAATTGATCCACAACTATTATTACATTTAAATGATGATGGATACACACCACTGCATATGGCTGTGCGTGCCAATAGCTACTTACGTGCAGAAATTATGTTGAATACTTTAGATGAAAGGCTTTTGGGAAAACCAATATTTAATCGTAATATACGGGCGTCCCTTAGCGAAAAGGAATTCGGTAAATATTATGAAGAAATATGCAAAAATCTGGAAAAACAATGTGGTAATGTAACGAGAAATGCGCAACCGAAATTGAAGAAAAAAGTTCTAGAGACAGGTGATCGCAAAAGTGGGAATACAGCCCTGTTTTTTGCAGTGGAAAATAAATTAGGTACTTACATATATAACATTTAAGTATGATTTGAAAAATATTAATCAAAAATTATTATTGTTTTTTTTTTTATTCTTTTCATCTAGAACATTTCGTGTTCTTCCTGTTGGCACATCTAACTGATCCTCGAATTTTGAATTATTGTGGGCAAGACGCAAAATCGTATTATTCTGAATTTGGCAAGATGTTGCAATTGAGCTTGAGGGTCGACAGTGCTATGGAAAACGTCGTATCATTACTCCGCTAGAAATTAGCTAAAAACAATTTTTGGAATGGAACTAGTTAATTATTGTTAAAAATATAAGTTTCTTTTGTTTGAAATATATTATGTCTATAGAGATTTTGTTGTTGTTGTTGTTATCTTTAACCCCATTCAACATTAGGGCAATAATTTCTCATTCGATTAAAATTTATTGGTTTTAATGATTCCGGTAAGCGTTTGATTTTAAATTTTTTTATATTATTTTTGTTATGAAATCTTTGCCACGGAAGTTTAACAGAGTTGTCATCTCTCGCTGTTGTAGTAGTTTTTAAAGATTGTGTTCTTTCTTGTGCTTCAACTAATAAAAGGAATATTTATTTAAAAAATTACAAACCTGCCAATGCATACATTGTTACATACCGATTTTTCGCAATTGCTTCAATTGTTGTTCGTTGAAATGTGTTGAATTACACATCAAATCAAATTTGCAATATTTTCCATTTAAGAAGCGCATACATGGCTCCTTCTTACTTTCTTCCTCCAGCACTTTTTTCGGGTCTACAAAATAAATAAGCCAAGCGAAGTTTCAAGCATTTTTAGCTGAAGAAATACATACAATCTCTCTCACCTTCAAACCGTCGCATATAGCGAAGTTTAGTCATTTTATGAATTAATCCAGAGTTGTGCGTCTTGCGTACATTAACAGCGTTCTTAATAAAACAACAACAATAATCACAATAATAGCTTCTGCCACCCATTGATTTGTTTAATTTTCAATGAAAATCGCAATCTGTTTGTTTATTTACCATTCAATGTCAAGAAATATCTAAATTGTTAATGGAAATGTTGGCAGCAGATTGGCAGTTCAATTTAGCAATTCACAATGGATCGGATGAACATAACTTTTTTGTCGATTTGTAAATACCAACAAGAACGATATACATAGTTGGATAAAAACAGTTATTGCTGACAAACTTTATAAAAAAATAACTAACTAATTTTATGTACACAAATATTAATGTTTTATTTTTGCTTTGAGTGATAACCGAAATATGGCAACGTTATCTATCAGAGCAGTGTTGTATAAAAATTTTTAAGCCATTAACAACCATATGTTTTTTTCCTAATCGATTGTCATCTTATCAGAGAAAAAGTACATAATGGGATTTACATTTTACACGACGCTCAAAACGTTCATTCCGTAAATAAGTTTCAAAGAAAATTGTAAATGACGAGCAAAACGTCTGAAAACAGTGGGCAATCTTTACCTTCCGGAGTAGAAGCAAAATCGGTGGACATTGCAATGGGTGACCAATCGGATCAATTGCCATTGCCACCTATTAATTTTGAAAATGATCGCTTTCCTTACTGCATCGTATGGACTCCTATACCTGTTCTTACATGGTTATTCCCAATGATTGGACATATGGGTATATGTACATCCAGTGGTGTAATTCGTGATTTTGCTGGAGCCTATTATGTTTCGGAAGATAAAATGGGATTTGGAAGGCCAACACGTTACTTGCGCCTTCATCCGAAAAACGTACCTGGTGGAGCTGTAGAATGGGATGAGGCGGTAGCCAAAGCTTCAGTTTTATATGGAACACGCATGCATAATCTCTTCTGTGACAATTGTCACTCACATGTAGCCACTGCGCTATGTGGTATGAGATATAAAAGACGAACAAGCTGGAATATGGTCGTGTTGGCGTTTTGGTTATTTTTGTGTGGACGATATGTGGGATTTCTTGGTTTTGTTAAAACATGGCTGCCGTTTTTAATTGCAGTTTCGTTGTGTGTATTCTTGGCAGAATATCTTTGAAATTATGGATTTACTAAAGAATAAGTCTTATTATATGGAAATTAAAGCGAATATTTTATTGTGCAATCAATTAATTAATATTAATAAAACACAGTATTAGCAGAAATGTTGCTTTGCTGCTAGCCATCAGTATACATACGGAATATAAGAATTTCAATTTATTTATACATTAGCGTAATCTATAAATGTGATAAAATGAAAACCACTTATAACAGGTGTTTATATCTCTTATCAGTCACTTTCTTGATTTGATTATCGACTGCCAAAAATAGTAAACATAAACAAGTGAAAGCGGAAATAGCTATTGCTGAAAGCGATATATGGGTATATGCCTTCATATCTAATGAATCATACGCTTCAGAAGTTTTCTTGTGTTTCATGTGAAATATTTTATTTATACATAAGAAGGAATAAATACAATTTTAATATTATGCTATTACAATTATTCACCTAACGCTTTATTAATCTCTGGTGCCAATTCTAGTAATTTTTTCCATTGATGAATATGCAGAGATATACCTTTTTTACCCGGTAAAATTTCCCCATTTTTCTCATAAAATTCACGAATATCCACCATTTTACGCCCTTTAAACTCATTGATTCGCACCTGGCGCAAGTTTTCGATTGTCCAAGGGCCATTAGGATTGGCATCTTCACCACTAGTACTGCTGCCCGCTTTCGATTTCTTCGATGGTGGTGGGCCCCTCTGTGAAAACCGACCAAGTTAAACTAATTAAATTTTTATTTCTTGCAATTTGCTTACATCTTCCGGTCCTGAATCAGAGCTGGATGACTCGCTTTCCTTCTTGGCTCTTGGCATTGTGAAAATTATTTAATTGGGAAAGAATTATATATTGTTTTTTTTTTTTTAGAATGTATAAATTCAGGCGGGAATAATGCAATATCTAGGATGAAACCACAACAACAACAATGTGACATCTTTGACAGCATTGAGAACAGCCAGGGTTGCTACTAACAAAAACTTAAGAAAAAAATATTAACGTGTTTAAAAATCACAGGTTTGTACTAAATTATACATCAAACAGCTTGAATTTAGATTCCAACTAGCGCAGAAATATGAGTGATGGCCAATGTTTGGCGTTATGTTCGCCCCAATGTTGCTAGTGAGGAAATTTTCATTTATGTTATGTTTAAACGTCAAAGACCATCCGCCACGCAACGCGACAACAAAGTCCTGTTTGGTATCGGCGTTACTCTGATGAGTGGTCGCATAGCGGCTGGTATGAGAACCAAGACTTGCTTCGCACGCCTGCCATAAGAGGCGACTAAAATCTAATAGTTACGACGACAGTCCAGTCTTTATATCGGAACGACCAGGATTTTTATCCGGCCAATGATTGTTCGTCCCCATTATTTCCCGAAACCCAATTCGTGGAATATTTTGAGGTTATAACAACACCAATTCTAAGACACACTGATAGTTTTCTTCGAAGAAGTTAAAAATCTGTTCTTTTAAGTAATTATTGAAGTTATTTTAATTCCTTCGTAGTCGTGGAAACAATACAAATAATAATTTCGTAAAGAAACTTTTATCCAATACAGAGACGTATAACATAACGTATGTTATACGTTCTCTGTCCAACATAGATGTCAAAGTCTATCTTTCACGCAAAGCGGCGCACAAGTCTTATTAGTCTTTAGCTTAGGGTTATTAAGGGTTTTAGGATTGTAAGATATAATGTGACAGGAATTAGAGGGCACAATAGACCAATGGTTGCGGAGTACATTCTCAGTTGTACTAGTACTTGATGTCAAAAAACAAATAATTAAATTTAAATTTTTTTCGCCAAGAAACGAGTTAAGCGAATACCTCGTACCTAATCTACATAATCAAAACAAACAAACCACATACATGTATTAAACAGAAAATATTTTATTCAAAATACTTCGCTATACAGCACTTAACGTATATAATGAACGTACTCAATATAAATAAAACATTGAATTCGCCGTAAATAAACTACATATGATAAATTTCACCAGTCATTCACGAACAGAGCTGCCTTTGCTCGTTTGAAGAATGTTCAGAAGTTTTTTGGTGATTTAATAAATAAACTATTAAAAACACAAAGTATTATTTTTACCATTAAACAATTCCTAAAAATGATATACTTTTTATTGGATTGTCTCTATTCTTTATCTCATTTGTGGAATATACGTCAAATAAGAAGGGATAATAATATGTTAGCTGGCAGCCCTAATAATCCACGTCCAACTGTTCATTTGTTCTGCGATTTTTTATTAATTTTGCGTTCAGTCAGTGAAGTGGTGAATTGTAAGATTACGCGACAGAAAACAAAAGGGATAAATTAAATAAATTTTGTATACTAGGAACTTCAAAAATATTTCCTTCTCGATAAGGATAAAAACTCATGGACATTACGTAAATTTTTTAGAAATTGTGGTGCTTTTTGCTAACAAGTTACTTATACAAAAAAAGTGGCAAAAGTACGTGTATAGAGAATTATCTTATTAAGTGAAGCTTGAGTTTTTCGGTTCGCTGCACACCGAAATACATAAATTGAGCAGTTAAAAAGGTACATACTCTTAAAAATATATTGGCCTTTCTAATGCATTGTTGCTTAAGCTGCAAATTATGGTCTTGTGGTATTCTGTGATTTTTTGGATTAGGCGAAAGTTAAATACATATGTATGTGCAAAGTAAAAACAAAGAAACAGCCCAATTGGTATAATTAGTCAAAAAAAAGGAAAAATATTACAAGAAAAGGACTCTTCACAGTGGATTCGGTAGTGGATTTTCTATACTTAAGTGGTGAATAGAGCGAGAAATCTGGTACATAACAACATAGTGAAGATAGTGAGTCGATAAGCTAAATATTGCTGCTAATTAACGGATAATTGATTATGGCTAACAAAAATTGTCGTCACAATATGTATATTTAACAAATATTAGGTACATACATTTTTGTTTGTATTAAAAGAAGAAGTATAAATAGAGTTGGTAGGTTTTAAATATTATTGCAAACCTCCCCTAACTGCTACATTAACATTACGTCTCTTCATTGTATCATTTTTAATAACAAAGAATATATTATTGTGCAGACAAAATCCATAATTTTTTTTCTATTGCGTAGTTGAGGTCCAAGTATGTAACATAATTTATGTGTGTATTTATGTATATATATGCAAAATATTTCTTCATTTGACATATATACAAATTAATCAAATACAGAGCAATTTGGGCGACTGTTTGAATGGTACATACACATGTACTCATCTTTCAAAATTTATTCTTATCAGAATTTATTAGTATATTCTTCGTTGTCATATACCTTAAATGTGTATAATATTGTATGATTTGATATTGATACACAAACAATTTTTGTTTGTATGTCTTCTTATTCTTATTCTCTGGTTTCTCTTACAGAAAACTTGTTTTTATCCTACTTTGTTAAGCGTCCAACGCTTCTTTGTTTTACGGACTAAAGCAAACAAACAATAATTCGTATACATATGACTTGGTACGGTTTTTGCACACCTCATTATCATAGCTTTTTGCTAATAAATTCCAACAAGAGCCTTGATGCTGCACTTGACCGTCTATGGCTTATCAACAACCGGCCACATCAGTGCTTCTCAGCTGATTTTGTTCTAGCAAAATTATTACGGAAATAGTGGTAGTAATTTTTAAATGAACATTAAAATTCACAAGTTGTATTCAATTTCATAGTATGTGTGCACTGTCTCTTATATGAATTTTCCTGACAACTCGCTTGTTCGTCTATTTAGGTACAATATTTTGAATATCTATTCAATCGTCTCCGTATACATTTTCATGTATGCAAACGTATTATGTATGTATGTATATATTGTATTATCTACGTTTGTCTATATTTATTTATATTCCATTCGCTATTACACAGGGTGTACTTAGTATTAATGCTCATCATTTTTATTGATTCCTAAAAATAGCATATTGCAGCAAAGTATTTACCGTGCATGCACTTAATGGTACAAAAAATGTTTTTTCATTTCTGAAAATTAGAGCAAATACAATAGCACACGACAGGGCTTATTAAAAACAAAACGAAATAAATAAACATTAAAAGTAACCTACACAAACGGTGCTTCTAGGTTACCGAGAATCTTTGGCATTTGCCCTGTAAATGGTTAGTAATTTTCTTTTTGTGTCACCTATTCGCACACGCAATTTCTCGCGTATACTACCTTTTTTTGCAGAAAAAATACGAATTTAAAATAAAAATTAATTTAATATTTTTTTCTACAGTTCGTTCACCTATAACAAAGCAACAACGAAGTCCCGCAGTCATCATCCACACCTCCATCTCCTCCATGCATAAGTGAACATATTGTAGCACAATTGAAAATAAAGAAACAACAAAATAAAGCTGAATAGCAACAACTTTGTGGAAAGCTTTGACCATTTTATATATTTTCTCGCGAATCAAGTAAAATAAAAAACGCAGCAAAATTTTGTGTTGGTACAGAGACAATAAGCTAGTAGAACAATTGCAGCGCACATTACCTTGACAGTGACAGCACCAAGAAAAGTGACAAGTCAGTGAGGGAAGCAGAGAATAGTTCTTACGAAGCTGTTGTCACTTCTGTGAAACATTAAGTAAATATTTATGCTTATATTTAAATTATAGCAATAGAAACAAAAAAAAAAAGAATTTTTTTTTGAAATAAAGCAAAAAGCTCAACAACAAATATATACATTCATACATAATAAGTCATAAGTCAGCGTTGGAATTGCCGAAAATTTGACATGTCAGCGGCTGAGGAGCAAAATACAACAATGAATGAATTGACGCCGGAAGAGGTAATTAGAAAATAATTTGAAATCAGGATATAACATTAATAGCTTATGTATATTTACTTCAGATACGCGCACGTAGGCTGCGTACCTTAGCGGCGGCTAATAAGGTTAATTCGGTCACTGGGAACACAGCTACAACGGCAGGGAACAATTCCACCTTGACGACACCAACGACAGTTATTGATGAAACGAAGAAAGGTTTGTTGAATATTTTAGTAATAAGCATTAATTAAAAAAAAAAATACCTACAGATAATAATGCTAATCATGCAGCCAAGGAGTCGCGAGTACTACGTACCAATTTAACAACAACAGCATCATCGTTAGATGTACAATCAGCTGATGCGTCGACCGTCCCGGAAGCCCCCAACTTGGATGGTGATGTTGAAATGAATTCACTAAATACCACACCCACTCAACACTTGGATGTTACGAAATGTACAACAGTGCTAGCTTTAGCTTCCGCTATGTTTTCACCACCAAAAACAGTGGACGATAAGAATGACAGCAAGAATACGGATCTTAGCAATATTGAACAAATGGAGACAGGGGATTCGGAGAATACGGAAATGATCACTGAAGAGAAGCAGTCAATAGATGAGCGCATTGAGCACATGCTTTCGAAAATATTCAATGCCACATGGAATGAATATGGTGTCGGTTCAACGATTTGTCCACAGACTGCTAGTTTTCTTGAACATTATCCACAAATGCGTTTTGATTTCGAAACAATCATACACGATGTTTTATTAGAATGTGTTTTAAAAATATTCAAAGATGAGTATGAAGGTAAAGAGGCTGCTGAGAACAGCGCAAATTCAACTGCAGAATTCGAAGCGCAAACTAGTGGTGGCGATAATGTGGCAAGTGGTGTAAATACAAGTGATACCAAAGCATCACCATCACCAACAACATCCGCAACGGCAAGTACTTCTACTGGCGCATCGTCGAATCCAACTTATTCAACGCCGAAAAAGATTAAAAGCGATGACACAGAAGTACAAGAAATATTGGCAAATGCTGCACCGGGTAGTGCCGGCGGTACACGATCTTCGATTTTCTTTTCGGAAAATGCCATGACTCGCGGTAGGAGTAGTAGTAGTGCACGAGAGGATGATGGACCGAGCTCCTCACAAGGTTAGCTTTTCACTTGCATATTTATGTAAACATGTCGGTATATTTATTTCTTTTTTTTTCGTTTATTAGCATCAACATCAGCTGTTACCGACCTGAATAGCTCCGGTAGTGTAATGAGTTCTTCTACCATCTTGCGCGGCACTTTGATTAAGCAGGAAGTGGTTTTGTATTTAGTTAATTGTCATCGATTACGTCACAAGTTTCTAACAGATACTACTGTCAGTCAAAGTAACGATTCAGCTGATGAAACAACAAAAATTCAAAATGTCTTGCAAGATGCTTATGATGCTATAATGCGTACTACTATACTTGTGCTCACCGATCGCATTTACGAAAACAATTATCTCGTTTATGATCAATCCGCATTGCTTGAAATGATATATCAGGGTCGCATATCCGATGAATTCCTATTTGATTTAGTATCTACTGCATTCAGCCAAGGTGAAGATTTTCAAAAAATATTCAGCCAACTTTTGCGTGGTCTCTTTATTGGCATGCAACGGAACATTTGTTCGGCCAGTATTAATACTCAACAAATTGATGTGCTAGCCAAGCTGGTGAATATAAAGGTTGGCACAGCGCGACCGATGTGCGATTTAATTGTATCACAAGCTAATTTCCTGCCACCGATTTGTACGAAAATTCCCGGTAGAGAAATAGTGAAATGCAGTTATTTGGGCCCATTTCTGTCTCTCTCGCTTTTCGCCGAGGAGAATGTGAAATTCGCCGAGGCGCATGGCAAGAGCAGTGTTATTGTTTGTAGCATGTATCATTTTCGTTGGGTAAGATATATAATAATTATATAAAGTCAAACTTTTAATAAATTTATGTATTAATTCCATTCATCCATGCCATTCATTTGTTATCTTCCCCAGGAAATGCAAGCCATGCGCTCATCAATGCATTCAGTATTTTACTCTCTGTTTGTAAACGGAAAAAGCCGCCCTAAAACTCTTGAGTATGTTGGTGCAATACTACGCCACAATGAGCGTCGCGCACAATTTTCTAGCGATGAAAAGTTGCTTGCACGCGATGGTTTTCTAATTAATCTAATGAGTGTTATGCAACAGATGTCGACAAGAATCAAAATGGATCGTGTCGATCCTTCATATCCATTTTATAAAGACTCTTTGATCTCAATAGAGAATGATACGAAATTACGTTTTGACTCTGAGGAATATAAACAGTTTCTAGAACGTGAATTTGCAACGGCTAAACAAAGTGGAGAATTTCAGACACAATGTTGGTTTCTTACACTGCAGGCGCATCATTTAGGCTACATGCCAGCAATACAACGCTATCGGCAGAAGACGCGTGCTATCAAAGAGTTGCAAAAGCTCGTCGATGAAATTGACCGAACCAAAACGCATTGGGAGAACACGTCGTATGCGAAGAGAAATATACAATTCCGTGAACGTTGGAATAAACAATTGAAAAAGTTGATGAGGTAAGTGACGTTTAAGATGATTAAAACAGTAAATGATCGGCGTTTTGTAAACACTTGAGCGATTTTCCGACTTGTGGTGGGCGAATAGTACGTAAAACTTTATTCAAAGTGGTTTAAAAAAATTTGAAAAATTAAAATAATGTAAAAGAATTAAATATAAAAATACAAAGTGAAAAACTATTAAAATAAAAAATTAAAAATAAATAAAAAATTAAAAAACATAGATAATAAATCAAATATAAAGAATAATAACAATAATAACAAAAAATTGTCATAAAAAAATAAAGAATATAAATCAAGGAATTAAAAATTAAAATAATAAGTATAAATAAAAATAAAAAAATAAAACAAATTAAAAAAAAAATAAAAAAGTTAAAGAAAATGTAAAAAAAAATTAATGAAAAATAAAAATAAGTAAATATTAAAAAAAAATTAAAAAAATTAGGAAATATTAAAGATAAATAAAATTGTGAAACATAAAAAAGTAAAAAAACTCAAAGTTTAAAAATTAAAAAAAAAATACATAAAAAATTAATTAATTATTTATGTATATATACATATATATTTTTTTAATTTTTTATGTATTAAACTTTGTTTTTTGTACTTTTTTAACTTTTTTTATGTTTCATATTTTTTTTATTTATCCATATATATATATATATATATAATTAAAAATATAATAAAATATTTAATTAAAAAAACAACTGTAGGTAATAAAAAAAGAGAGACTTAAAAAATTTGAGATTACAAAATTAGTAAAAAAAAATAAATAAAAATAAAACAAAACATTAAAAAAATTAAAAAAGTCATTTAAAAAGAAATAAAAAAATAATATAAATAAAAAAATATAAAAAAAAAATAAAATAATATTGTATTAAACAAAAATTAAAGGAACATGAAATAATTTTAAAACAAATAAAAATTAAGGGCGAGTAAGAAAATAGAAAATTACAAAAATATCAAAGAAAAATATAAAAAGAAGAAAAATATTAAAAATAATCAAAAACTAATTAAACATTTAAAAATTAAAATAAAAAATTAAAAGCAAATGAATAATTTAAAAAAAAAAAAATGAAATATTAATAGAACTAAATAAAATACTAAAAAAATTATGTTTAATAAAATATTAAAAAGTAAAAAATAGTAAGTAAACAGATATATATATAAAAAAACATATATATATTTAAAAAAAATAATATAAAATAATAATATAAAAAAATAATATAAAAAAATTTTTAAAAAAATATATAAAAAAAATAATATAAAAAAATATATAAAAAAAATTATAAAAAATATATAAAAAATATACCAAAAATATATAAAAAATATATAAAAAAATTTGTAAAAAATTTATAAAAAATATATAAAAAATATATGTATAAAATAATAGAAAGTATAAAAAATATGAAAAATAATTAGAAAAAAAGTACATAAAAAAATAAAAAGTGAAAAAAATAGAAATAAAAAAAAAATGAAAATGAAGAACAAAACTATACAAATAGAGATTAAGAAAACTTTTCTAATTTATATTTATTTTGGACCAATAATATCTACACCAACGTTTAATATTACTCCCACCTTAAATGAAGCTTCAAAATTTTCTAATACGCAAAGTAAAACTATTTTGATTTTCTTCCAGATCCAAAATGTGCTGCGAACTAACTTTGCTTGATCCAAAACTATTGTCCTCTTGTATGTACTACTATTCATCCGTTTGTGAATTTCTTTTATACCAAATCGAGGGTCGTCCAATTGAGGGTCCATTCATATCCAAGGTACCGGCACATCAGCTGAAGGTTAGCGATGCACTTTCCGCACTTCCCGAATGGTATGTGGATGATATCGCCGAATTTATACTGTTCGCCATGCAACATGCACACAATGATATACGTCAGACTATCGATCATTCGATAATCACATGGTTGCTAACATGCGTCTGTGTTCCCAATTTTATAAAGAATCCTTATGTCACTGCCAAATTAATTGAAGTGTTGTTTGTGTTCTCGCTTGGACCACAAAATACACTTAACACAGCTGTAAGTTCAATTAATAATTCTTTGGTGTATAATATTTTCATAATTTTTTTTTTTTTTGATATTTCTCATTTACTTCTTTATAGGTGTGGAACCATGAGTTGGCGCAGACAATACTATGTGGTGCGCTCATGAAATTTTACGTAGATATTGAAACGACTGGACAAAGCACTGAATTCTATGATAAATTTACAATTAGGTTTGTAAATACATGTGATTATATTGAAGCTGAGTATAAATTCAAAATATGTTTTTTTTTTCTTCCTTTCATACATTTGCAGATATCACATAAGTCATCTATTCAAATCAATGTGGGATAATCCCGTTTTACGCCAAGTTATGATAACTGAATCGAATTCCGGCAAACAATTTGTGAAATTTATAAATATGCTCATGAATGATACCACATTCCTGTTGGACGAATGTCTTGAAAATCTAAAACGCATTCATCAGACGCAGGTATGACTTGAAAACTTAAATATTATATATTAAATATTACCATTAAATTAACTGTATTTGATGTTTTTTCTAGGTATTAATGATGACCGAGGCGTGGACTCAAATGAGTGCTGAACAGCAACAAGCCAGATTATCGCAATTGAGTACCGATGAACGGCAGTGTCGCTCGTATTTAACGCTTGCGCGGGAAACCGTTGAAATGTTTCATTATTTAACTGTAAGTGTGTGTTCCTTTGCGAATGCCCCGCACTTTGTTGTATTTGGTAAAAAATGCTTGGGTGAGAATCTTTAAAGACTTGAGCGAAATAGTGGGACAAAGATGCGTCAATTGTACAATTTTTGTTTTTAACTTCTACTCAGTTGAATTGGTATGATTAGCGACTTGGAGCATCAAGTATTCTCAGTTGTTTGATGGCTTAAGTGTGTTGACGTTCAGTAACCATTTCAACCTAACTTAACAATGTTGTCGATAAAATAGCGAGTGGTGAGAACATATTTGAATTCTCCCGCCTGTACAGGATATTTATAACCTTTTTACGAAAGTGATCGACCTACATCTCCGACCTTTCCCACTTTTTCACCGGGTCTGCCCCGCCAAATCCTTGACAACCCACCCTTCATCTGTCTGTCTGTTCATATACGATACCGGCAAAACCAGCGAAGATGCCCAGTAGGCAATAGGATCTCGCTTATAACACGAATCTTCGTATTCGAATAGCTGCAACAACAACAACAAAACCTGATTTAATTTTGAAAGCAAATATCTCTGGTTGTTGTTGTTGTTGTTATAACGGCAAAATATTCCCTGAATCGGTTTCGGAGAACATTGCGGGAGTGATTGTTCTCGAAGAGATTAAAAATCCTAGTCGTCCCGGTATAAAGACTGTCTCGGGACCCATAGGATTTTAGTCGCCTCTTAGAATAGGCATGCCTTACCACGGATAAACAAACCCTTTAGCCCCTAAACCACAGGGGGAAATATCTATTGGTCTCATGGCTCTTCAAAAAAAAAAAAAATACGATCTGCACGCAGTAGAGACGGTTCTTCAAATTACTTTACCTTTGTCTTAGCTACTTACACGATGCAGCCGATAAAGCAGCAGGACCAATAACCCACTTAAAATAATCAGAATGTGTCTTATTTTTATATATTCTCAAATTATTGTTCTTACCAACATGCCTACATACATATGTAAATTTCTTTCATTAATTGCGCTTAATAATTGAAAAAAAAAAAAAAATTCCATTTGCAGAACGACATTAAAGAGCCATTCATGCGCGACGAAATAGTCGATCGTCTCAGTTCAATGTTAAATTTCAATTTACAACAATTGTGTGGACCCAAGTGCAATGATCTGAAAGTACGCAATCCAACCAAATACGGTTGGGAGCCACGTCGGATGTTGGGTGAAATTTTCGATCTATATATACATCTAGACTGTGATAGATTCGCGCAGGCATTGGCAGCCGATGAGCGTTCGTTTCAGAAGCATATCTTCGATGATGCTGCCAGTCGTGTAGAGCGTTTGGGTATACGTTCCACCATTGAGGTTGAAAAGTTTAGATCGCTCATTGCAAAGGCGCATGATATATATGGTGAGTTGAGATATCATAAAATAATATTTATTTTTCTTTCTTTCTAATCATTCTAAAATCTAATTTTAGTTGCTAATCAACTCGCTGAAGATGAATGCGCCGATGCACCCGATGAGTTCAAAGATCCTCTCATGGATACCCTAATGTCGGATCCCGTCATACTGCCATCGGGTACGATTATGGATCGTGCCATTATAACGAGGCATTTACTTAATAGCAGCACCGATCCCTTCAATCGTCAAACATTGACCGAAGATATGCTCGTGCCAAATACTGAATTGAAAGAACGCATCGATGCTTGGCGTAAAGAGCAGCGTTTCAAGAGACAGCAGGAGCAACAGGAACCGGAGCAGAGTGTTAGCGTCAATGATAAGACCAGCTAAATCGTATTTTAGTATAAGTTAAGCGATTGCGTGGCGTGGGAAGTGTGCGGTGAATGACATACATAGGCAAAGACAAAGACAAATTAGCAAGCAAGCAAGCAAGCAAACAAACCACACAACAAACGTATAAATACCGTAAGGGAGCGCCAATGTATGTACATACATACATATTGATTGCTGTTATTTTGTTGCTTTCGCTGTCATTGCTGCTGCTTCCGCTGACACACAACAACGACGAAGATTTTGTTGTTTGTTGGCGTGTTGAAAAGAATCGAATTTTAATTAGTTGTTTTGTATGTGTGCGTGTGTTTAAACAAAAAAAAAAAACAAACAAAAAAGAGGAAGAAAAACCGAAAAAATATATTTCCTTTTTTTTTTTTGGGATCCATTTGCCTCCATACAATTTGAGGTACATACATATATGCTCTACTAATAACATAGTTATATTCACGGGCTTTTGTTTTGTTTCTGTTTTGGAAAATTTCTAATACTCTGCCAAGCAATTTATGCATTTTTCATAATTACATATATACATATATTATAATTTTTATTTGTACGAGTTGTTTTGTTTTTGCTGAATATTTATTATACAATTATTATTATTATTATTATTTTCTCTTGTCTTGGTAAATGTATTTATTATTTACTCCAATGGATATTTCTATGATTTAGCTGAAGTTTTCAGCATGAAAAAAACAAATTTTTATACATGCAAATGATAATATGAAAGGGAGAAAGAGAGTGTGAAAAAACGAAAAAAAAAAAAAAATGTTGATTCAATTTCCGCCCTTTTTGAAGAAAAAAATACAACAACAACAACAACAACAACAACAACCGCAAAATATTGTCAATTTATTTGAATATACGATTACACGCATACTAAATGTAGTACGTACATACATACATACATACATACCAACACAATATGCAAGCAAACGAGCAAAAGAAATGTACGAAAAAAGCCGCAAAATGAAACTAAATCTAAAGAAGGCGTTTAAAAATACGATTTGTTTTTTTTTTATGTACGTGAGTAAGCATTAGTTTGAAGCTAAGAGTAGATACAAGAAAAAAAAATTTAACTAATTAAAATTAAAATATATGCGTAATTTACAATTGCCTACATATATATTTGATTTAATACAATTTTTACATATATGAATACATACATGCATAATAGTATATACATATACATACGAGTACATATAAATAAATACAAAAATAACATACATAAATATAGAAATATTAATTGTAAGCTATCTTTATTAGCATTAAATGGCGACTTCATTGACGTCGAGCATTAAATAATAATAAAAAAGTAAGTTCTTGGAGGAAAAATATTAAAAATATCTGTTTTTTTATTTTTAATTTGAATATTTTAACAAAAAATTGATTAAAGAGGAAATTTGACTTCATGCGGTAATTATTGATTTAGAATAAGCTAAATGCCCCTCCGTTTGTTTGTTAAAAAAACATACAGACACATACCATAAATTGTAGCAGGAGCTCGGCCGTTTAGACCAACAGGTAAATTTGGTTATGCTCGTCAAGAGATCAACATCTTACAGCATAGTTTCTGCAAGTCCTTTTGATCAGTGTCTCTGGTTCGACGAAATATTTCTGTTGGGTGTGGCAAAGACGGCTCCATCTCACTTAACTGTAAATAGTGCAATGGTTGAAGTCAAATTAAGACCTGTTGAGACCTTACGACACCTAGTGAGCAGGAAGTGCTGTGACCTAAGCTACTTTGATAGAGCTTTCAGCACCATAATGCTTTTTTGGTAACTGTCCACAGACCTTCATGGTTCAGCGAAGCTACCCATTCTTCCCAAACCTTTCTAAACCTTCTTATACCTTCCTCCCGTCACTTGTTGACCAGTGGGGAACCGACGTGGTATATGTATATATATACGGCGCTACTCTGTGGAGATACCTTTTTAGTTTTTGCAGACTTTAAAGTGCATTTTTGTCAACAAACAACAACAACAACAAAGCTTGTAGAAAAGATAGACGATTCGATATTCTGAACCATGAACGATGAGGCCGTCTAGAATTGTTTGCAATCGTCATATCTCGCACGATAAACAGCAAGACTTGCCGACTCTCGCATCAGATCATTCGCCCATATTTGTCCGGATCGACAGGTCCCTCGACTTTGTGCCCACAGATCATCGTTCATACATCAGCCTGCTTCATCCCGACAGGCCGATTTGTGAAAACAACCCCACATTTTTCCATTGAAGCGGGTATCCAATCAAGGCGTTAAGTTGACCCCAGATAACCTCTGATCAGGGTGCATAATTAGGAAATTGGCGTGCTCGAAATAAAACCACCACCTATAGCAGACAACGAGCTCGAGCTGCCTTGAGAGACCCGCGTGGCCTTGACACAACTTACGTCTGGATATTGTAGCAGGTTAAATTTTTACTTATCCAGACTTGTGTCTCCGCACGACACTAACCACCTCTTCACATGCCCTCTCAAACCAACTCATCTAACCCCCCTCTCCCCCGTTGGTCCTACCCCGTCGAAACAGCTCGTTTCCTGGACCACCCACTAGTTGATCTCGGCGACTTAGACTGATCAAACCTGTGCCTAAGCGGGGTTAGCGAACCGCTACAACAACAACGACAACAACAACAGGAGATTCGGCAATTGGTAAACATAAAGCAAAAGGAAACGCGCTGACTGAGTGAAAATTTCATTCGGTGACGGCAGCTTGTCGGATCCGAAGATATACACGAGCTATTTTAGCTGCACCTTTCTGTTGATAGATTGTTGAGAAATTTAACTCGCCGTCTGCGCAAACTGCCAAACACCAGCAGTGTGCTTGATTTCTCTAGAGAGGAGGTTCATGAATTTCTCACCAAGGCACTCAATCTGAGACAAACGAAAACCCTTTTCGCTTTTGGTGCCCGCAAGATAGTGTCCTCTTCCCGCTGTTCTTTAATTTTTTATACTTCAAAGTAATCTCCACCACTACAGGACGTTGAAGGAGTACCAGCACGAACTGAGTGTTAAAGTCGACGACGTTAAAATTCCGACAACAAACAACTCCAAGTTACTGGAAGACACATTCGGCAGGCTGCCCTCATTCACTCTGTATATGACTTCGATTGCCAGCACAGTACAAATTAGCAATAAAGTCATAATATTGCTAAGAGGCGTAGCACCTGAGAGAAATGATTAAGGAATGTTGCGGATCATGATGCTACACTGTGGATGCCAACGGAGATGGAAGCCGAAACGCCATCATCACAATGGTAGTGCTCAACTTAAGGGAGACCATACAAGACAGAACCGCAACACAAGACTATAAACGCGATATACAGAGACTCCACCAAACTTTATTTTCATTATAGTCTCCTCGCGAGACCCGAGTAGTTCTGATAATGTCTGAATGCTGTATAACCTCAAATCCCACTTATCCAGACTCAACCGCGACACACTTAATGCTGTATGTATTTCCTGCATGCCCACAACTATCACTAAAACTACTCGTCTTACAGCTCTCATCCTCTAGACCGAATCTGACGAAGCAACTTATTTCCTGGACCTTCGATTTAATCACCACGACAGCAAAATCTAGCTTTGCCTGATACTTGGCTTAAATGGTTGTTTGAAAATATTTTGGAGTACCACAAACGTAGGCGATGTTTTTTTCACCAGGCGAGCAAGTTACAGAGTAAGCAACTACTATTTCACACAAAATATTATTCATTGCCTTGCATACATTTAGGCACGGAAAGTATCAAAGATAGAGAGATAAAAATGATAAAAACTTTTTTTTTTAATTATTTGACATCTCGCAAGGGAACTTTAACGCTTTCAAAACACCATTTTTTATTTACTTTTGAATGTCTGAAAGAGATCTAGCTAGAAAATACCCAAGCCATACTCTTTGCAGCAACGCAATTGTGTTGCCTACATTTAGGCCCTGAATAATTTTGTGAGGTAATTGTGGTACAGGCCAAGAAGAAAAGGTGCGAGCAATAGCAATTTCAACAAAGCAAACGTGAAAAACCAATTTACGTACTACGCTTAACCGTTGCTGAGCGAATTCCCAAGAATATTCCATAAATTATGTACAAACATATCAATGTACGTACATAAACATCTATATTTTTGAATGAAACTAATCGTCGCTTATCAGCAAGAACAATCTTTGAACTGAAAATAAATTATCAATTATGGGTATATACGAAAATACATGTGTAATGTACATATATATAAAATAAATTTAAACAAGTAAATAAAGACAATTTTGAATATTTCTTTTTTTAATTATCGTTTCACTTTTATTATTACTTAATTTGCTTATAAAATATGTTTTATGCTTATGTAAGCGTGTATACTGAGATTACACACTATATAATATGTATGTTTGTGTGTATGTATGAGAAATGAATTATGGTGACTTGTTTAAAAATAATATAATATAATCAATTATCAACTATTTTGCAGTCATATTCAATATATGAGCTATGAAACTTAAAAACTAAATATAAATAGGCATGACAAATGAGTTTATTTATTAATAATTGATTTTTTTTTTATTATTTTTATTAGTATTTTAAAAGCTGTTACGCTACCTTTTGCCGAAAATTTGAATTAAAGTAAACTAATTTTTTTTTTAATTCCACTGCATCTTTCTGGTTCGCATGTTACTCCCAGAGTGTTATAAAAACTGAAAATTTCAACACAAGAAATGTTAAAAAATTTAAATTTGAAACAAACTTGTTTTTCGAGTTGAATGAAGATAATTTTTTATATAAAAATTAATTTAATTTTCAAATTATATTGGCCCGGAAATTTTCTAATTAACTGAGAAAGATTGGAGTTCAGTATAAAAATTTTTTATAATTTGTTTTTTTTTTTTTTAGGAAACTTAGAATTTTTTTACAAAAACCATATTTATACTCCATTGCGGGATTGGGACACTGCAGCGGAAAATGTATGCACATATTTATATAAATAAGAAAAAAACAAAAAAGGAACTAAATGAGAAAACGGAAAAAGGTAATATTTATTGTGAATAAACAACCAAATAAATAAGAATAATTGAATAAAAAAAAAATAATAAAAAAATGATAAAAAAAAATAATAAAAAAATGATAAAAAAAAAATAATAAAAAAATGATAAAAAAAAATAAAACAAAAAAATAAAAAAATAATAATAATAAAAAAAATAATAATAATAAAATAAAAAAATTAAATAAAAAACATAAAACAATAATAATTAAATAAAAAACATAAAACAATAATAATTAAATAAAAACCAATAAAAAATAATAAAGTAAAAACCAATAAAAAATAATAAAATAAAAAACAAAAAATAATAATTAAATAAGAAGAACAAAAAAAAATTACTTAAATGAAAAATAAAGAAATAAAAATAATATAAATTAAAAAAAAATAATAATAATCAAATCAAAAAATAATAATATTTAAATAAAAAATTATAATTAAGTAAAAATTAATTAAACAAAAAATTAAAAAAAAATATAATAATTAAAAAACAACAACAAAAAATTGAATAAAAAAATAATTACATAAAAAACAAAGTATAATAATTAAATAAGATCAATAAAATACAATAATTACATAAGAACAACAAAAAAATAAATTAATAAAAATAACAAAAAATAATAATAATTAAATAAAACAAAAAAATAATAATACTTAAATAAAACAAAAAAAAATTAAATTAAAAAATATAAAAAAAAAATAAATAAAAACAAAATATAAAAAAAAAAATTAAATAAAAACAAAACACAAAAAATATAATAATTAAATAAAAAAAATTATATAAAAAAACAAACAAATATTAATAATAAAATAAAAACAACAAAAAAATACTGATTAAATAAAAAAATATTTAATTATTATTTAAAAGCAGCAAAAAATAAAAATAATTGAAGAGAGAAAACATGATTAAATAAAAAAATAAAAATAATTAAATAAAACCAAAAAAATAATAAAAATTAAACAAAAAGAATTAAAAGAGAATAATTAATTGAAGAAATAAAAGAATTAATTAAACAAAAACAGTTAAAAGAATTAATTAAATTAACATGTAAGTGTTTTAAATGTCAATAATTATCAGTTTTCCTTTTCCTGATAAGGAATAATAAGAAAATAAAGTTATTTGAGCTTGCATAAAGTTGAAAAACAATATAATTAAAAAAAAAATTAAAAAAATAAAAACTAAAGAAATAAAAAAAAATATAAAAATTAAAGAAATAAATAAAAGTTAATAGAACACAAAATAAAAAACATAAAATAAGCTAAATTATAGATAAATAGAATTAAAATAAAAAATAAGAATCAAAAAAATTATTAATTAATTAAAAGTAATTAAACTAAGAGAAATTTTTAAAATAATAAACTATATTTAAACATAATACATAAACATAATTAAAAAAAAAAAAAAAAAAAATAACAAAAATTAAAAAAATAAATTTAAAATGAATATGCTAAAAAATTAGATGAAAGTAATGAGATACGAAACAAAATTAAATAACAGTTAAATTGATAAAATTTAAACTAAAATGAAACTTTAAATAAAATTTAAATTAAAATAGTAATCGTATATACCAAATGAAAAAGAAATTAAAAAACAAATTAAATAAAATCACAGGAAATAAAAAATTCAATAAATAATAATTGAATCAAAAATATCAATGAAATAGAAAACCAATTAAATTAAAAATTAGTAATGAAATTAAAAAATGAATAAAAATAATTTGAAAACATAAAATATTAGCAAAAAAATTAAACTAAAATAATTAATTTAAATTAAAGTAAAAAGGTAAAAAAAAACGAATTAAATAAAAAAATGATAATGACAATAACTATATATGAAATTAATTTAAAATGAATGTATTAAATCAAAAACAAATAAAAAATATATTAAAACATCAATACATTTAAAAAATACATCATGTTGAAATATAACAATTTAAATTAAAAAAAAAATATAAATAAATAAAGTAAATAAACATAACCAATTAAAACAATATTAAAAATAATATATAAAAGAAACTAAGTAAAACTAAAACAAATAAACAAAATTAAAAACAAATAAATAAAATACATACATATACTACGTATATTAAACAAAAAATTAAGAAAATTAAAAAATAAATAATTCTTAAAAAAATAATTGCAATTAAAAAATTAAAATACATAAAATAAAAACAAATTATTATATAATAATAGAAAAAAAAAAATTAAAAATAAATTAATTTAAAAATAATTAAAATTAATAGGAAAGTTATATAAAATTATAATAAATAAATAAAATTAAAAATAAATAAATAAAACATATGTATTAAACAATAGTTAGTTAGTTAAATTGAAAACAACATGTTTATTTGATAGATTGAAACAATTTAAATTAATAACAAAAATATGTAAAGTAGAATGCTTCATTTATTTAACTATAAAAATAAAATTTAAAATTAAATAATTAAAAAAATTATATAAAACAGAAATACCTAAATAAAATTAAAAAATAAATAATGTTCAAAGAAAATAATTTTAACTAAAATAAAATTAAAGTAATATAAAAAATGTCATTATAGTAAAAAATATAATTAAAATAAATTTATTTAAAAGTAAATAAATAAAACTAAAGTAAATAAATTGAAATAAAAATAAATAAATAAAAAATATGTGCTAAACAAAGGTTAATGAAATGCAAAATAAACAATGTTGAAGAGAATCAATTTAAATTAGTAAAATAAATAAATATAGGAAAATAAAAAGTTATAATTAAATTTGCAAAATAAAATAAAATGCATTAGCAAAAAAATTAAAAGTACAATGAATTAATAAAATATAATAGACAAAAAATAATTAAATAAAAAAAAAATAATTAAATATATATATATATTTATAATGCATTAGTATTATATAGTAGAGAAAAAAATTAAAAAAATATAATTTCAAAAAAAGAAAATTAGATTAAAATATTAAAAATCTATAATAAAATATAAATAAATAAAACTAAAAAAATTAAAAAAAAATGATGACTCAAATAAACATAACGAGAACATGTTTTTACTATTATGTAATATAATTTTTATTTTCCACAATTATTTTTGGTATTTCTTATAATGCGTTATATATACCGAATAACAAAACTGTATATGGAAAAAAACATTTTTTGCTTACATTTAGACTTACTTAAAGAGCTGAAGAGGGTTATTCGTATGTATGCATATAGCTTATATTTAAAACAGTTTCTTTCTCACGAAATTATAAATTTGCTCTACTGTCATGCCTACTCTAAGCACTTGACATTTTGTATGTTAGAAAATACATATTTCTGAAAGTTTAAAACTTTTTCAAAACATTATCAAGTACATAAAATTTTATATGGAGAAAAATTATGGTTTTACAATTATGTATGTATTTAAGTAGTTAAGTAAAGTAAACGAAAAATTCAATTATCTAATACCTTTGAGCGACGTTTAAGCAGCTACACAAACCGAAAAACGCAAATTTTTAAATGCGCAAAATTATATGATTTTCGACTTATGTATGTATTTATGCATTTTCTTTTTTTTATCAATATGTCAGTTCAATTAAACTATATGCCGAAAAGTATACTTTACTTTAGTTGTGACAACTTTTCAGCATTCCCCCCAACTTAATTAGAGGGTTTCCTCGTGCTTCCCCTTTTACTTAAATATTCTAGTGCCTTTATTTGGCAATTTTCTTTTACCAGAATGGACACCATCCAATGTAACACTGACATAGATTTTCATTATTTGTCGCTTGCTGTATGAGCAGATCCACTTGTTGCGGCACCGCCACACTATTCTGCGTTTGGAAATCTGTGCCATTTAACTTGCTCTTCACGCGTTTGATAACTTTGCTCGCTTTGCTGTTCGTGATGTCCGCAACCATCATTGGGCCGCCTATCATGTGATTTGCACTCATTAGTTGACTATGTAAGAGTGGTTCCTCTACCGAGTTGCTCAGACTGCCATTACCACCGCCCAACATACCCGAGCCACCTGGATCGTTATTGGATTTGGAGCGATGATTTTTATCCATATCGAGTAGACGCCAATTGAGCAGCGGATCATAAACAAACGCTTCCAAGACAGCCATGAGTGAGTCTTTGTTGCGTCGCAATACTAACATGACGCTTTCGCAGGTGCGCCGATAGGTGCCCTCAATGCCAGTCACCTCCATGGCCTTGATTAGCATACGCGTCAACCGGAATGGTATCTTCTCGGGAAATTTTTCGCGTGTCATCGCCACTTCAAAGCAATCACCGAAATCAATGTGCAATATTTTGCCGCTCATACGATCCAACATCAAATTGGAGGGATGACGATCACCCAAGCCGAGTATATAGCCAACCATGGACATGACAGCAAGTGAACGGGTGTAATTGGTGCGTCGCTCAAACCAAACTTCGGATGAGGGCGACTTTAGCCAAAGTAATTTTGCGAGATCATCACCATGCGTTTGCGCTAACGCACATTCAAACACCTCAACCTTTTGCATTAAAGTCAAGTGATCATAGTCGGGTGAAACACTCAACATGAGACGATGTTCCTGATTGAGTGCCATCTTTCGTTTATCACGGTAGTCGCGTATTAACGTATGTAATGTGTCACAATGTGGCACCCAACCGATGAGACCGGAATTTGTGCTCAGCGGTATGACGGCGTAACGTTGTATGGCCAAGTTGCGACGGAAAGTGTCGGGATCGTCTAGTAAGAGCGTGTTGACCAGTGAGAACAGTTGCATGACACGCTCATCTTGACGCAAATCTTCGTGTCCCTTTAGCAGATACATGTAGTCTTTGCCGTTGGAGCCACGTAGACAGAGCTTGCGTGGACGTTGCTTTGAGGTGATCACCTGAAGGTTGGTTTTGATATAGTCGATACGTATCAATTCCTGGTTGGGGTTGTAGGAGCCGGGCACAGCTAATTCAAGATTTTTACACGCCAGCAATTTTGGCGAGACATAGGGCAGTTCTAGTGAGGTTAGCTGTGGCAATTGACGTGATATCTTTTGAAAAACATGATAGTATATATCCCAAGCATGATCCAAGTCCATCAACGCCGATGACGTTTTATAGCGCTGTGTCCACTCGTAAGCCTCGGTTAGTTCACGACCGTATGCCTGAGAGAACGAGGTCTCCTTCAGCGTTTGTGGACCACGATCGAGCAGCGCATGCAGTGGTTCCAATATATCAAACATGCCTTTCACATTACGATCACCAAAGTAGAGACGCGAGGCCTCCTCGAGACCTTCATGCCATTGCTCGTGCCAAAGTATGGCAACGCGTATCAATTCCTCACTGCACATCATTGCCTGATCGACCAATGTGGGGTAGTGTTTGCGCATGGATTCCAAAATTTTGAAGGCCGCATTTTTGCGCGCCACCGATGCTGATTTCGACGCCACTGTGAGTGGATAAACGAGCGCTTGTGGGTGATATTTGCCGATGTCTATGAGTAGATGATGTATGAGTTGGTTGACAAGTTTGCGATGAGTGTCGATACGCGCAATCAATTGTGGTATAACCTGCAGCCAAGTGTTAATCTCTATCGTCTTCATGCCGGTCAAAAGCGCATCGTACACTTCCGAGTACTGACCATAATCAAACCAAAGCGTTAGTAGACGTAAGGTGTCTTGCAACGAATTGCCTTTAATGAGACTAATCGATCGGAAGAAGCCATCAACTGCCTGCACTGCGTGTTCGATAATGAGCTTCTCCTTGTCCTGCAATATATCTCCATTCGTGGCTGTGTGCGCTAGTTTATCAAGTTGCTGCTTCTGTGCTTGTACCACTTTGAAATTCATGTACGCCCATAAATGCCACGCCTTGTAGCAGGTGGGATCATTTTCGGTTGCCTTCTCGAAACAATCCAAAGCACCTTGCACAATTTCCGGCTCCAGCGAGCTCTGCAGCTTGTTCTGCCATTTGCCCAGACGTAAATAGCAACGCGCGAGTAGACGATGATCTTGTTTAGCAGCCTCATCTGGTCCAATGCAATTCAATTTAGCTTGGAATGCATTGACGAAACAACTGAGCTGTTCGTAGGCGCCCTGCATGTTTTCTGCGGCGGCCATGTGTTTGGTGTAGGCGTATGTGACTTGTGGCTGATTGTAAGGCAATTGATCTTTGGGTTGTGTGGATGGATCTGTGCCCAGCAGCATGACCAGTGTTTTATGTGACAAATGTAATGAGCCGGACTTGCGACACAGACTGGCGTACTTCAACCAAGTGTGCACATCTTCCTGAGGACGCACAACCAATGAGTGAACTTGTATGATACGTCGCCAATCCTCGACTAGACGTTGACCGCCCTGCAAGCGCTTCCACCACATGCTCTTCAGCGGTTCGCGTCGCTCCGGTATGAGTTTGTATTGTATAACCTCCTCCAATTCAGCTAACATCTGTACACACACCATAGCGCCATAGGCACGCTCATATGATTCGCCTGCCATGGAAGTGAGTTCGGTGTCGAGTAAATCACGTGTGCCGTCAATCAAGCGTTGTGCTGTCTCGAAATCTTCATTGTGTACGGCTAGTACTGCTCGATAGAAACTGCCGTCTTGTGTTTCTTCCGGTATACAACGTACATATTCTTGCATGGCTTCCCAATCCTGCAAACCCCAAGCAGCGACTGCAGCCAACGGTCCAGCACGGGACCTTGCCTCGCGTCCTAAATTTTCCCATTCCTGTTTTGTCACGGTACTTAGCTCGGACCATTCGCCCAAAGCTTCCAGACAACGCATGTGTCCCAAACGCGCTTCTAGATCATTGCTGTTGTCTTTCAGATTGCCGGAATAGTGTTTTAGTGCTTGCTCCCAGTTGTGAAGTTTTTCATACCAACGACCTTGTACCTTGAACTCGTTGCTGGCATTACGATAGGTGGTAAGCAGACCTTCAGCCGCTTCCTTTTGCTGTAATTTGTTGTTAATGAGAATGAGTGATTCGAGCACCTGCAGGAAGAGAAAAGAGAACAAAAAATATTTGAATAAGGTATAAAGTGCAGCCGAAAAGATGTAGAGGAATGCTGTTTTTCTATTGTTAATTCTGCTGCCGATTTGATCCAGGTATGAAAACGTTCCTAAAAAACAAAGTAGCCAAATTTTTTTTTATTCAGCCAAAAATACACATTTGATAAATGCCTATAATTTTTTTGCCCTGGGGTCGTCACGGAGGACATAAATGGCTTATCGCTTCCCTTAGACGATTGTTGCCTTGGTCTTCTGTTCCTTCATTATCACATTGTGTGACTTGATCTAAGAACACGCTCTCTTTCAGTACAAAGCTAAGAGAATATTCCACTGCTGAATAAATAAGTTTGTTACTTCCAGCTTAATATAATAAAATAAAAAAAAACATAATAATAGAAAAGGTCACACCTTCCTTATTGAGATTTCCGCTGACGAAAGGAGCTACGCATATTTGCACTTCTGTTCTATAACATTTATTGTAATAAATTACTTACTGAGAAGTTAATTCAGTTAATGCAATGCATTTTCACTTACCTGTGGATCTTTATGCGTTTGAAATTCCTCTTCTTTATAGCGCAATGCCTTCGCATATGCTCTACATGCCATGGCGCGTGTACCGAGCAACTTGGTTTCGATTGGTATTGAATCGTCGTCGCAATGTTCCATGAATTCGGCTAAGTTCAAAATAGTTTGGGTAATTTCCGGCATATCAGTTACTTGCAAAGCTTGTATCAACGACTGTGTTAGCTCATGTTTATGCTCCTGCGAAAGTTCGGTCCAACATGAGATAAAAGCCGCATTAAATAGATCACGCAATAACTTGTCATAATCTTGCGCGAGTACATGACAAGCGCGTAAAGCCTGCGAACGCGACTCTTTCAACAAACCGATGGACAGGCGCTTTAGCCATTCGACCCAATCGTCTTTGGACACACGACGCGTCACCTGCCAGGCGGCGCGTAAATTGCTGGTAGAAACCATGAGACGTTTCATGGTGAAATTGCTGCCACTATTTGGCGGTACTAATTCGGTGGATTTAAATTTACTCTGGCGCATATGAAATTCATCATCTAGGCACATAGTGGTGTTACTCTGAATTTTCGTCAACAATTTTTCATATTTTGAATCGACAATACGATGCTTAGCGATGGTGCGTTCAACAAGAGGCACAAAAACAAGATACTTTTTGCCCAACTGTATAACCAGTGAGCAAAGGGTGGACATGGCTTGTTCGCGTAATTCTGGTTCGGCCTCGAGGACACGCACTAATGGATGTATGATGCGTGAAGAGAAATCAGTGAAGTCAAGTATCCAGGCGAGATGATCAATGGTTTCAAGTGCCACTAGTGAGACCTGCTGTGGCACATAAGGTGCATCAAACAATTTCACAATTGGTGGCACAATCAAATGCAGATAGTCGTCCAATGTGTTGCCAAACTTTTGCAATGCCTGCAACAGACGTTTGGTTACCATGCGATCCTTGGACGTGTCATGCTGAAGCACACGCAAAATTTGTGGTATTAATTGCGACAGATAGTTGCGGAAGTCACAGCCTAAAGCCAGGGCGATTTGCTCAATCAAATTGATTAATGTCAACTGTAGTGGCGTATAAACAGTCCAGAATTCTTTGATTAATTTAAATATATCACACATATAGCTTATAATATGCTGCTTAACGATCTGCACCAATATGGCCAATTGCTGGAAGAGAAATTCACGTAAATTTATATCAGCCGTGCGTACATTCTCCAACAAACTGGGCAACACTTGTGCCAGATAGGGTACACATTTTATACCCAAACTTTTGAATATGAAAGTGATTGCCTGTACGACGCTCGTGTGGCGACTGCTCAGGGTTGGATCACGTAAAATGCGCATTAGAGCTGCAATCGCTACAGCGGGATAGTACTCGTCCAGTGCATTACTCATATTCACAAGCAGCTCAGCAGTGGAAATGTCTTGATTTTCATCCATTTTAAAATCACTCAACGAAATGAGTACGCTATCCTTCTGACTGTCAATAAGTCCCTTATTCATTTTGTGTTTATAGGGATCCATTGCTCCCAACAAACCCAGTACACGTATTGTCTCACGACGTATGGAACGGCGTTGTTCGGTTTTCAAAAAGTTTATAAGTATATCAATGAGTCCGGGATACTTGTGATAGGGTGTTACCACACGACCTGTGGCACTAATTAATTGACCAAGTGTCCAAAGTGCAACGCCACGCTTTTCAGGGCTGCCAGCATCGCCGAGCATTTCCAATAGAATGGACAATAAATCGTCCGCCCACATTTCCATCTCATTCGAACCGCCGTTAACTTCAGCCAAATCGCCTATTGCGCGCAGTACATTTAAAATAACACCAGGATTGGGATCGGCTTCACGTAGCTTGGGTACCAGAATGGTGAGTATGGGATGCATATAAGAGGAAATCAATCTGTAAAGAGAGTTTTAGTCAATATTCAGGTTTATAAGAACAGATATGTATTTAGAGGAAAGGAAAGGAAAACGATTACTACTGTATTTTGTACTGTAATTTGGCAAGAAGCCTTGATTGACGCAAGAAAAAAGTTGAGTTTAGTCGGTAAAAGCAGAAAGAAAAATATATATAAACTAAATAAATAAAAATATATAATCTAAATAAATAAAAATATATGCACTAAATACATAAAAATATATAAATTAAATAAATAAAAATAAATTAATTAAATAAATAAAAATAAATAAACTAAATATTAAACTGAAAAAAATAGTAATACAAAAAATAAATAAATAAATAAATAAAGAAATATGTAGAAAACCAAAAATAAATAATAAAAAATTAAATAAGTGAATAAAAAAATAAAAATTTGTAGAAAAAAAATTTTAAATTATATTATATTGAAAAATATAAAAACTGCAATGAGGAATAATTTAAATTTAAATTTAAATAAAATAAAAAATTCATTATTTTAAATTAATATGAAATAACAAAGCTTAAATATAATTAATTAAATTAGGTTTTCCAATGTTTTACCGATTTTTATAATTTTAATCGCTTACTCATTTAGAATATTTAAAACGTACGTGTAGTTTGCGCTAAAGCAATTTGTATGGATTTTGAACAAAATTTTTGGGTTTCCCCCAACTAACCTTGGTGTGCTGATTATCAAATGATCCAACATCCTCGCACTCTGCTCCTTGTTACGACTCATACCTGAGTGTTCCAACTCAGTTAGCAGTTGTATCATAATTTTACGTAATTTAGGCATTACATAGGCCGGATTCATAGCAGACAGTCGACCAACTGTAACCATAGCCAATTCGCGTATTTCAAAAATTTCATCATTCAGCGTTATAAAGAGTGCACTAAGCGATTCGGGTTGTGCCAATTCAGCATCAAAGGTTTCATCCAGGGAACGTAATATTCTTATGCGTACATTACAATCCATATCTGTTATGGCGACAATAAGTAAGCGTTCAATAACATGTGATACCGTTTCGCTAAGAGTATTTGAGCTTTCTGAACTGTCAGCAGATTGTACAGCGAGTTTAAGTAGGCGCGTACAAGTCTGCACTGCTTCTAAACGTATTTCTTGTTGCTCATGATTAATGAAATGATCGGCACAACGTTGTACGAAGTCCAGCATATTTTGTTCTTCGAAATTAAAGCTGCCTAGAGTTTTTAGTGCTAGCACAACGGTAGGTATATCATGTTGTAAATTCATAGTTGCTTCTAATGGTATGGTGGCCAATGTTTGGTATGGCATTACCAGTGGTTTATTCATAAGTACTTGAGAGAGTACACGTATGAGACCCTCAGCAATGGCAGATTTTAAATGTGGTACATTCTCGGCAAGTTCGCGCAAACATACGGTCAATGCAGGTGAAAGACCACTAAAAAACATTTGTTCGAGTATATTGCGTATATCTTCGGTTATACCAGATTTCACCGCATGCGCCAGTAAAGTAATACAATGAAAGATAGCTGGATCAATAGCAGCTTTACGTTTGCTTTGTGTGATTTTTGGTGGCAAAGCTATTTTAATGGCGCACATAATTGTTCGTAAATACTTATCAATGTCACGTTCTACAGCCACAGCAATATAGCCAATGGTTACATATGCAATATTTCGATCCTTCTCCTTGCGTGGTACAATGCTGAGCAAATGACTAACACATTCTGCTAGATAACGTTGGACGAACACTTCACGATTGAAGGCAGCAAGACGTGGTAGTATCTGCAGAAGCGCTTGCTGGACATATGGTGATTTCGAGATGCGTTGTTCGAGCACATTATCACATATGTTTATATAGTTTTCGGTAAGTATCTCACGCGAATATGCTGACTCGAGCACAGTAGACTTTAATAAAGAAACATTATATAAGAAAGATATATTACAGTATATAATTAATTATTTGTTTATATTTTTTTATAAATAATTACCGATAAAAATTTATGTGGTCCACCATGTTGCCCTTCGTGTTCTAAATGCATATGTGTCGATCCAAGTTTACTTATAAATGGAGCTTTCAAGCGAGGCACTAAGGTGGTTAGTTGACTACCAACTGAGTTGGAGCCAGAGTGTAAAACTTCGCCAAATTTGTTATGTTGCGCATCGGGAAGTAAAGCTTTTAATGAAGCATAACGACGCTCCCAAGCCGCATGCGAACAGCGAAAGAGTTCATTTAGAATTATTAAGCCGCCATGAATACGATCGTCGCGTGTCATGCCTTTCTGATCCTTCGTGCCAGCTGGTTCGACTACAAAACTTGCATTTGCCTCCTGATAACAAGTTTTATACCATTGTGGTTCACTCGATTGTTTCGTACTTTCACGCTGGGATGTTACAATAAGTGCTGCACGTAAAGCCTCTCCAGCCGATTCACGTATAGCTGCTTTGGGATCGAAAATCGCATTGAATATGTTATCGAAAAAAGTTGATATTTGTTGATAAAAATAGGTTGGCATAGCTATAGCGAGCTCTCGTAAAATAAAAACAGCGGCGTGACGACGATACTAAAAAAGGATACATATTTTAAATTTTATTTTCCAAACTTTTTAAAAAAACTATGTATATACCTCTTGGCGATCGCCACTTAACATTTCAAAAGCCCGTTTTATATCAAAATCAATCGATTCAGCACCCTTCGATCCAGGTAAATTAGCCAATTTCACCAGTGTGCGCGCCGCGATCTCCATGACGGTTGTATCATTGGAAGGTAAAAGCGTACGTAAATGATTGTAATATGGTGAAATACGTTTCATGGTATTAACTACATCACCGCTTATCAAACATTCTGAAATTGAAAATACATAATTTTTTAATTTTTGAAAAATAACCTAACACTACAAGCAGCTCATAACTACGCACTTATGGCCAAAACAGCGCCTTTCTTATCGTTGATGTCGGCTGAGTTCACCATGCTGAATATTTGATGATTGAAATCGTCAAAGAAGGCTACTAGATCTTCCTGTGACATTTCACGCAGTTCTGTTTTAACATATAAAAATAAATCCTGCGCTGCTTTGCTTTGTACATTGCGATTACGCGACTTGAGGCCAGCAACGAATTGCTGTACAAGCGCTCCGGTAGACATTTTGATGGATTTTATTTAATGCAACAAGTTGCTGGAGTTAATATTAGTTAAAAATTAGCAACTATTAACTCTTCCTTTTAAGTTCTAGTGTATATGTCAACTAATAGAGCATTGTCTACTCGATGTGGTGTTGTATTAGCAAGTCTCATGGAATCTCAAATACATCCACTTTGAGGTTAAGTAGAATGGTGGATTTAAAATGAACAACTACACGTAATATTTCATTTTATATGTTTTAAAAACAGTTGAATAAGTTGTAGCGGTATCTTTGGAACTATTTTTATATAAAAATCACTTCACTGTAAACTTATATTAAATTTTCTTCAATTTCTTCACGGTACTAATGAATCTTACACAGTTTTATACGTCTGGTTTAATTGTCAACTGAAATGTCTATGAATTCGCCATACTAGTGCGTAAAAAATAAACTTCGGCGAGTCGGCGCCTCAAAATAAGCGAATTCGATGTAAACAAACAGTTTTTTTTAGGCAAAAGTGGCGAGACGCGAATTAGGCGAGAAAGAAAAAAGTTGTGATAAACAAGTGAGAATTGTGATAAGGATGAATGTGATGAAATTGGTTAACGAAGCGAAGGAGATAAACTACAGTGTGTTAAAAAATTGCCAGCCATTTTTATAAAAAAAAATCCATCAAGAGGAAAGGTGAAAACTCGAACGAAAAGCATTTTTATTTTATTTTATTTTATTTTGAGAACGCTAAAAAAAAGGTTTCAACCTCAAAACAGCAAATATAAAACAAGTAAGAAGCGTAAATATAATATAATAATTTAAATCATCTTAACTGTCGAAATTTAAAGTAAAAACTTTTTAAGTTTGAGTAAACTCAGCACAACCTCAACAAAATTTTTCATCATCCGTTTTATATTTTAGTTTTTATTCAATTACAGGATTTGAAATAATTTGAAACTAGGAAAACTGATAAAATAGAAAATTAAACTCACCAGATCCCAAATCAGCAAAACCAGTATATTTAAGACTACAAACAAGAGTAGTAGTGTTGAATCATATTGATGTTGTTAAATAATTAAAATATATATATATACATATACATATGTACATATATAATTGGCGCGTTGTAAGCGCTCAAGCGACTTTTTCCACGAGCTCCTTCCCCCATTTGTAATACGTTTTTCCAACATTCTAAACCGTCACTGAACAGCTGATGGTTTTTTGAAAAGTTATTACTTCATGACAGAAATACACCGGGGATGGGTTGATTTACCCTGTTCAGGGATGGCCGGATTTAGGAAAATTAAGTTAATATTTTTTTTAAGTTAATTTTTAATAATTTTTGAGTTTTGGTTGGACCAGGACTCGTACACTGGCGTTCCATATGCCAGTATGTCCTGTGGCCGCCAAAAGAGCGAATTCATACCAGATTTTCCAGCATGAGAACACGAGCAATAAGCCTTGGTCTAAATTTTCTGAATAGAAAAGATGTTAGAAAGATGCTAATTTTTTACTGAAAACAGATAACGGTGATTGATCATTTAACTAAGTAGCGTTTGAGCGCATGTCAAATATGGAGATTAGCAAAGAGAAAATAGGGCATTTTCAAAAATTCTTCTTCGATAAATTCGCTAAAGGTGAAAACGCTGATAGTGATTGTTGAAAATATCCCAACAAGAATGGCAATCGTCGAGTCTGAACAAACATTTCACAAAAAACCATTTCGAACCACTTGACTATGAGCAGCTCCCCTACGGCCAAAGTTTTAATTCACAGTCTGAAGGATGCAAGCACACATAAGTCCCCATTTTCGACAGGAGGTGAATTGTCTTTCATCAGGCGGTTAGTTGGTGACACGCTAGAAGCTCTGAGAGCTTGGTTGCCTTATAGCCCGGATAGTGATTACCTGTCTATGGATAATGGTTTGCATACTGAAGAATTGGCCTCAAGAGAAGCCAGTGAAAAGCGATTGTCCTAATTTTTGCCAATAAAGACAAGGGTTGCTATAAGAGAGGCACACTGTTATCGCGTAAAAGGTTATAGAAATCGGGTAATTTTTACTATGGCAAATTAAGCATGCAATGCTTTAAGCAAAAATAATCCATAGGATTTTTTTATCAATACTCGAAATTTGAGGAAAATATTTATTCTTTGTTTATCATTTCGAAACGCAATATACCAACGTCTAGAAATTTCACTAATCTTTAAACACTAATTTAATAATCTTTTTTAATCTACAGCAATAAAGCAAATAACCTTCAACGTCTTTACGAATCAGATTATTCCAAACACCTGATTGGTTTTTACCATATTAAGCCATTAAATAAGAACACAGTGCGAGTGTGCAAAGAGAATGCGTACAGTAAAATCGAGAGCACGAAATGGGAGTGTAAAAAGTTGAATGCCACCGGCTGCCTTGGACTTGGAAAATTTTGCGAATAATATAGAAAATTCAATTGTATACAAACTTTCCAAGCACGGGGGTAGTTGTTTGCTTGTTCATTAGTAAGCGGAAAGGCAGAAAAGACGAACTGTCAACAGCGGGTTAGTTGAAAAAAATAATTGTAAATAAATTAAAAAATTGTACAAAATAAGTGGTATAAATTAATAAAGCTACTGACACATGCAGATAGAGTATTATAAAAATACTAGTAAACGTAGTGCTATTAAAGAAATATAGATATGTATACATATATATGTATATATACGCATGCATACATACGTGTTTTTGAAAATGAAAGTCATACAAAGGTTGAAAAGGTGTTGTGGTGTGCTAAAAGCGGCAGCCTATTAAAGAATGAGTGGAACTTATGTACATACATACATACATATATATATGTATGTACATATATACACATATAAGCAAAAACGTATTGAATAAATTGAATAATGGATATCTGTATGTACATATGTAAAAAATGTGTTAGTTTAGCACTTGTTAATTGAATTTGTTTATCAATAGCCCACTTTATTGTACCGAATTTCATTCTTACTGCTTTTTACTGCAAAAAAAGTTTCAAAAGCCATTAATTTCGAATACCTTATATAAAATTTTAATATAAAATATATACATATATACAAGTGTATTTATTTAAAAATTAAATAGTATTAGCTTCTGTCGTTATATATATATATATATATATATATGTGAAGGGTGTTATTTTCTTTGGCGGCCGTAGTAGCCGAGTGGCTAGCATTGCGTACTGCCATTTGTAAGACTCGGGTCTCAATCCTGGGGTCCAAAAAGTTATAGAAAATTAATTCAAATAAAAAATTAAATTAAATTTTCTAATTGTCTTCGCCCCTCGGCAGGGAATGTTAACCTCTCCGTGTGTATCTTTGACATGAAATAAAGCTTCTCATAAAAAGCCCATCAGCCGTTCGGAGGCGGCTTAGAATAAACTGTAGGTCCCTCTTTTTGGTGGTAAAACATCAAGATGCAAAACCACAAATTGAAGGAGGAGATGGGTCGAAGATCGCTTCAGCGGTTACAAAGCGCCAATTATATATACAAGAAGGGTGTTTTTTATACTTGTGGTTTTTTATGAGACAAGAAGTTGGACTTTTTGATAACTGCAACTTGATTTATACTCAGTTTGATTGCTCATTTCATAATAAACAGATTTACTCCGGAAAAATATTTGCAAATCGCACAAATTTATTACCAAAATAATGGTTCGGCTCGAGCGACGCAATGCGTATTGCGTCCAATATTTAGCCAATATAATCGCCCAGAATAGTCGGTCATTCAAACAACCATGGATAGGTTTCGTACCACGCTTACATTAGTGTATAATGCGCATCCTCAGAATTGCCATAGAGTGAGCACCGAAGACGCTATTACTAGTGTGTGGTAGAGTTTCGAAGAAGACCCATCCATTCACCAAAGCCCTCAACATTTTGCCTGTGCCCTTCAACTTTATGGAAGATTTTGGGAGAGGATCTTGGTTTTCGGACTTATAAAACCCAACTTGTGCAAGTTTTGAAACCGTTCGTCGCACATTAGGTGAATACGCACGTAATGAGAAGGCCACCTATCTCGATTCGAACAAGAAAATTTTGGTTCAGCTATGAAGCTCATTTATGGTTGAACGGGTACGTTAACCAATCAAATTTGTCGCATTTGGAGTGATGATAATTCAAAAGCCACTGTTCAGATACTATTATATCTTCAAGAAGCCACTGGTTGGTTGAATCATTGCTCTATATTCCATCAAAAATGTAGCTGGTCATAATGTTACAGTCAATGGTGAATCTAAAAAGTCATAATAGTCACGATTAATGACTTTTTCTTGCCTGAATTGGAGGATTTTGACGCGGATGATCAACGCCAACGAAACAAACAATTTATTGAAGTAATCTTTTGATGAGGGCACTATCTGTCGTGGTGGGTATGCGGCGCCTGGGATATTTTTTGTGTGGTTATGTGCAGTCGCCGCGAGGTTAGCCAATCATACATATGTATGATGATGTTTTTCAAGCCGCATCCGCACGGCTGATGGTTTTTTTTTCATGAGGAGCTTTATTTCATGTCAGAAATACACTCGGAGGGGTTGACATTCCCTGCTGAGGGGCGACCACAATTAGACAATTTAACTTAATTTTTTATTTAAACTAATTTTCTATAACCTTTTTGATGATGGTCGCACGGCGATTTGAACCCGAGCCTTCCAAATGGCAATACGCAATGCTAACCACTCGGCTACTGCGGCCGCCATATTTATTACAAATTGAGAAAATTAATTTTTTTGTATAAAAAGGGAACTCGATTTAACCATTTAAATAAAAAAATAATTTTCATTGTTGCTCGTTTTTGTTGTTTAGCTTTTAAGTGTTATCTGTTCTCTTTTAAGAAAATAAATTTTTCAAATGCAATTATTGTACATACATATGTATGAGCGCATATATATATAATATTTATAGTTTTTCATGTTAAAATCGGTCCAATATTAATTTTTTTATTATTAACAATGTCTTTTGTACATAATAATTTTGTTTTAATTTTTGATTTTTTTTAAATTTGACTTCACTAACAGCTTTGGTAGAAAAATAAAAATAAAAAAATGCTTGCACACTGTGAACCCTGCAACAGCCTGTTTGTGTATCTAATTGCACTGCTTGTATTTGGTAAAGTATTGGAAAAAAATTTAATTCTTTTGATTAAAAACATGTATCATAATTATCTGTGGAACAGCATATGAATCACAAAAATCTGTTTTTATTAAACACCAAAAAAAATATATAAAAAAGATTACTAAAAAAATATTATTAATAAAAAATACTATTCATTGCATTTTTATTCATATTCTCATTTTCAATGTCAATATTTGTTCTAAACACCATTTCCTGTATATTTTGTATCGATAAATATTTATATGTAGACACTCATGAAAATATTGTAAATGCTTGTATGCCATTGCCCATTTGTATGTATGTATGTAGGTTTGTCATTTGGCTAAAATTCTCAAATTTTCGCGTAAACATTTTCATACCAGTAATTCCGCAATCGAAGCCATTTATTTACTTTGTATACATATGTATATGCACATATCCACATACATATCTACAAGCATATGTAGAGAAAGAAATGAAAAATCACGGCACGAACAGCTGTTCATTGTTTTGTTTCGCAAATAGCACAAAAGTAGTCGTAAAGCCATTTGCTTCTGTGCGCGTCAGCTGGAAAACTACGTAATTTTTACCTTCCTCTTTTAACAATCCCTTTCTCACCTTGCTCGTGCTTGAGTGTGCCAGGTGGTTGTATATATATATATATATATATGTCATATGTATATATGCAATTAACGGAATCAGGTTTTGGCTGGAAATTTTTATTTCTTTTCTTTTGTAAGCGGTGAACGGAACTTGATCGATAATTGTTTGTTTGGGAAATATGAAATTACAACAAGAAAACTTCCGTAATCAGTTGCAAGAAAAATAATAAATAAATACTTTGTTGTTTTTTAGTTGGTATTGAGTTCGTGTTCTGTTCGCGTTGAATATGAAAGTGAGGAAAAAGTTGCAAAAAGCAAACAGGAAGCAAGACGTTGGAAGAACTATGTAAATTCTTCGTCTTCTTTATTAGAACGCTAGTATCTTCTTCTCTTTGTAGTTGAGCAACAACTGTAGCCTGCAAATGGAGCTAGGTTTTGCACCAGTTCGCTTCCAACAGCGTATATAGCATTAAAAAGTTTCAAAGCGTGAGTGTCCAGCCGCATCCGCTGTCACTTATATCGCTGAGCTATGTATGTATGTCAATGTCGTCATATACATATATCGTACCGCTCATTCTTCTATCATATTCGCTGTCGTCCATAAGCATTTGTGTTTCGCAAAACCATTCTCTCAAAAACTCCTTAATGCCGAGTCATCTGGTGTTGTCAACGTCCCCGCTTCGGTATTGTTGAGTAGAATGAGCAAGTAACTTAGAGAGAATCCTAACAATTGCCTACTCTGTCCAACATAGCGCTTTCTCAGATCTGCGTTGGATCTCAAGGCTGACATTGCTGGTGGTTTTGAAAAGGGTAGGTGAGATTATCTATGATTTCAGCCTTTCGCGGACGAGCTTCCCTTGTGTTTGCTGCACGAAGGCGGCTGCGTATTTTTGCTGCTACAAGAGTGTGGTCCAAGTCAATGTTTCATTCTTCAACACAACATTTTCGATTGAGTTACAAATTTTTCGACACGGTGATCGCTGTCGGTAGCTAAGGAACTTTGTGGTGCTAGAATTTAGTGCAACATGACTATTCTACTCACTTAGGAGTGTTTCGTCATGGAGACTGAATTTACCGCCCATCCTTGCGTTATAATCGCCAAGCACGATTTTGACATTTTGGCGTTGGCAGCGCTCATAGGTGCATTGATCTCTCTTCTCTTCTCGACAACGCAAGTCGTGTAAACAGATGCTACTATTAGACTTTTCCACTGAAGGCTCCTCTTTTTTTAGTTGTCCCCTAGGACTGCACACGGTGTGGTTACCACAACTTGCACTAGATACACTCACCTTACCAAGCGTTAAGAAGGCAATAGTAATGTTATGGCCGAATTTTGTCTTCCAATTCGCCAATTGTTTCGGTCTCATCTAAGCAGATCAGGAACTTCACATAACCCAACAAAAAATGTTGCGGATCATGCTGCAGGTACACCAAACAGTCACTTTTTGTGGATGTAATGGCGAGACAACCATGGCAATCTCGTTTTGTTATCATACTCATTCAACCAAAAGTGAGCTTCATAGCTGAATAAAATTTTCATTTGTTAATCGGGCCTTCTTGTTTTGAGCCCATTCATCGAAAGTGCAACGCACTTGATGCCCGTTTTAACTCCTGCCCCAGTTGGATTTTATAAGCCCGCAAACCAGGATACTTCCGCAAAGTAAAGGGGATGGGCACAGCTCCAATTGTGAGGCGTGATAGTAGATGGATTCATACGGATGTTCTTTAATACTCCGCTCAACAGCAGCAAAGCGCCTTCGGTGTACACTGTACGGCGTGAGTAGAGTGGTGACTCTTCTGTGCGGATATTTCGACCGAATATTGCCTGCAATGCGCGATGCGTTGCTCGAACCGAACCATTATTGTGGTAATAAATTTGCAAACATTGTTCGGTAGTAAGTCTGTTGATTATGAAATGGCAAACCAAACTGGGTTTAAATCAAGTTGCAATTGTCAAAAAGTCCAAATACGAAAAAAGTATTGTCTCATTGAAAATCACATGTCTAAGCAAACTCTCAGAAGCAAGACTACATCCCATTACATTTGTGGCTACTTTTGTCTATGAAACTCATTTTGGTACCATCCCGAGGATGTTTTAACCCTTTTGTTACTGTTTTTCATTTGTGCTCTTCAGTTAAAAAAAAATAATAATAATAATAATCGGAATAATACTTTGTAAACAATTTTTCTTTTACAGCGACCAACAACAATGTCGATGTGAACGCATTACCTGCGGCTGCAACGCAAAACTACGAAAGCAACAACAACTACAGTTTCCATTACTACTATAATCTAACATTAGCAGATGGAAAACTGGCTGATGAAAGCAACTCTAGCGGTCCGGCGAAGAATTTCAAATTGAATTTGCAAAATCACCTGCCAATCATAATGGAGCTGAATGATAAGGCAAATCTCACCGCCATCACATGGGCGCATGCGGTGAATAGTCAAAGCGAGTTGAATGAAGCGCTCGAGAGTGAGTAGTGTTGAGATAAAGAGATGCCAGCGGCACTCTTTCCAATGACACGGCGTATACGTAACTGAATTGCAATTTAATTGCTCATACGCAGCGTTAGCTTAAGCAAATTAATTTTTTTTTTATTAAAAAAATATATACATATATAAATGTATGTATGTATATTTATGTATGTATATATATTTATGTATGTATGTATATTTATGTATGTGGTTAATGCAATTTTAGGTGACATCAACATGATTGAGGCGGACATCGTGCTTGGCAAGCTCAATAATACCGGCGATGATATGCCAGTGATGGCGCATCCGCCAGCCAATTCCTCAGATCTCACACTGACCGAATTCTTATTGCGTATTTTGGAGCATAACGAGGAGCATGGCGAGGATGCAAAGGGCGTGAAGCTGGATTTCAAGTCCATCGAAGTATTTGAAGGTTCATTGGATATATTAAGTGAACTGTTGCCATTGGTAGGTAGTACATATAGAGCAGAACTAGAATTTCCACTTGAAAAGAATCGAAATCGTGGTATCGTGAACATCATTTGCTATTTGTAGATGTCCCATCCCGTTTGGCTCAATGCAGACATAATAAGCGGTCCAGTCAATCAGTCAGATACAGTGCCCGTAGATCCGGCACGTTTCTTTGCTGGCGCCGCAAAATTCGAATCAGCTGTGCTCTCAATTGGTTGGACCACACGTTGGGGTGCCAACTACACGGAGGGTGCGTATACGGCGCAGGAGATCGATGAAATGTTGCTGGCGATTAAGGTGAATGCCTACTCTTGAACTTCTTTATCAGTTCTTGTATTTCGGGTAATCAATATTTATTTTTCTCCACAGAACAACAATGTCACCGAAAAACAACATCCCATTACATTTCCAGTACGCGCGGGTATTGCTGCTAACAGCTTGGATCAATTGCATCGGCTTGTGGCTGCCGTGAATGAAACGAACGAAAGTTCGCTCACAATTTGGTCATCGGCGAATGATTTTGTTGATGTGCAAAAGTTGCGTAAACTAATTTTCTCCTTCGGTTTTGATCGTGTCTATTTGGATGTGCCCGATGAGTTGGCTAATCAATTGGAATTGAGTCGTGCTGACACGAATGATGCACCGCGGAGGTTACCATCTTTGCTTAGTTTTAGTATGGTGAGCGCGTGTTTGTATTTGGCCAGCATGTGGTTGAGTCGAGTTAGATTGTAAGTTAACAAGATGAGGTATTTTCTACAAACATATTTACATGACAATTGCAAACTTCTGACAGCAGATATGACAGTCTATTATCAAATAAATATAAATATTTCACTAAGTAAAGAGCAGTTTCCTTGACTGGGTAGGTTGTTGTTGTTGTTGTTGTTGTAGTAGCGGTTTGTCAACGTCGCTTAGGAACAGGCTGGATTAGTTTAAGTCATCGAGTTCTTCTAACGGCAGGTCTAAGAAGCGAGCTGTTACAAAGGCTTCGGACCAGAGGGAGAGGAAGGTTAGATGTGTTGGTGGTTAGTGTCAGGCGGAGACTCGTTGCTTGCAGGACATAAATTAATATGTCGTCGTCGAGTCTGGATAAGAAGAGTTTAATCTGCTAAAATATCCAGGCCAGAGTTGTGTCGGTACTACGCGGGATTCCCGAGGAAGCTAGAGCTCTTCGTCTGCCATAGGCGATGGTTTGATTCCATTCACAGGGAGAGAGTTTATTAAGGTTTCCACGAATTCTAGGTGAATGACGTTTTATGCTTGTCTGTGCGCCTTTTTGTCCAGCGGTTGTTGTAAATGGTGTTGATCACAGTTCTTTAGGTCGAGTTCTTCCTTTCTGACAAGCCTGAGTTAAGTGAGGTTCGGCTCCTCCCTACGGTAGCTTCCAAGCAGAAATTGCTTGCTCAGCGAAGTATATGTGCCACCAGTTAAAGAGCACAATGCTTTGCTGTGCAAGCAATTTCGGCTACGAAGTGATGCTCTGACAACATCAGAAGGTTTCCTGTCACACTCCTGAGGACGGCGTTTTAGCAGGCTTGTAACTTCTTCAACTGCATTTCGTTAGGCTCCGGCGGCCACATCGGTGCTGCATAGTTTACCAACGGCCAATAACCTTGCAGGTTGCCAGCAAACGTTTGTTTATCTTTTAACGATGCGCCGACGGCTAACGCTTTTAGGATTTTGTTGCTGCTATGGCGGAGTGAAGAAGTGCAGGCGGTTGAATGTGAATTTTGAAATTTGATCTCGAAATTCCACCGATTATTGAAGACCACTCAGGTAAACGCTGGCCCATCTCTTCAATCTCGGTGGTAATGAGGATTCGTCAATATCTTATAGGGGCACTGAATGATTGACAATGCTATCAGGACAGTTTTCGTTTTTAGTTGATATCATTGCCCATCTGGGTGTTTATGGCATTAGGTGTAGTTGTGGGTTTCTGAACTCTATGAAAGCCATGCTGTTGTGCTGCTGGACTTACCATTTTCCACATGTCGCGAATATTTAGGGCGGTCAGATACAAGTTGAAGACATTGGTGAGAGAGTCTGCTCCTTAGGACCAGAAGTGTTTTAAAATCATCATTCTTATTCCGTCGGGGCGGATGGATTTGCAGGCTTGATCGCGCCAGAGCAGAATCTACAGGATATTAAGTGCATATCTCACTTATTCCGCGTGTGAATGTCAACTTGATGCCGAGTGCAGTAGCAGCTAAGATCGTTGGGTAGCAGAGTCTGTTATTAACCAGAGGAGAAAGTTTCAGCTACCGATCGCAATATTTTTTTTTCATAAAACAGCCGCTTAAAAGAGAACTGTGGGGCGGCATCCTAAGCTCCCTATTTCGGAATGATCAAAAGAACAGCTGGTACGATGAAGATTGTCGCGGCTGCATACCTGACACTACGTTGCACACGGAGTGGGATATATACCAAGAATTGAAGAAGAAGCTAGACTGAGAAAGTAAAAAGACCGAAATACATGCGTATGACGAGCTCGAGATGCATGCCGATAGGTTTAATGAATGAATGTGGTCCAGCGTATGCGGAATATATGCAGGGAACACTTCGCTAGCCTGCAGAATAGCACATTAAACAAAAAGTCATTGCATTCGCAATTCGGCTCCAACGTTACTATAGACAGTCTTAACTTCGAAGTTGTAGATAATTTCGTCTACTACGCCTACCGACTTTGGACTAAGTAGACAATTGAAAAGCAAAATCCTCTCTCGACGAACAAAGACCAAAGTACGCACGTCGCCCATCGTTTTCGTTCTGCTATATGGTGCGGAAGCATGGACGATGATAACATCTAATGTTTTTATTGTTGTTGTTGTAGAAGTTCGCTACATATACATATGCAACATAACATCTGATGAGTCAGCGTTAGGAGTTTTCGAGCGGAAAGTTTTGCGTAAGATTGGCAACGGCGAATACCGCAGCCGATGGAACCGTGAGTTGTATGAGATATACGGCGACATTGACATACAATAGTTCAGCGAATCAATAGACAGCGGCTACGCCTGCTAGGATAGATAGATAAAAATACTACGGTTTTGAAAGGTTTCGCTGCAGCACCCGCCGGTAGAGGCAAAGAAAAAAGAAAAACCCCCACTGTTGGATATGTCAGTTGGAAAAAGACGAAACGGTGAGAGGAAAAGACATTTGTCGCACTGATGTTAACCCAGCTACAATCGATTAAGTGATCTATACACCAGTGAAGAAGAAGGAGAAGATTTAAGGTTTGAATTTATTTTAAAAAGAATAAGATCACAAATTATTTTCATAGTTCTTTTTTTGTAATAATATTTTTATTTTGTTTTTATAAATAATTTCATCTTTTGGCTTCTTATTCAGGAAAGCTTTCAACTTATCACGTTTTGCTGTTCTCTCTTCTGACACATTCATTCTTTGCTTAATTTTAAGAGTTTCACTTTATATACATTCATTATTGTATTTACAAAACTTCTCATGTATGAAAATCATTTTTAAGAGCAGCTTTATACTTAAAAACTAAATAATTGGATTTATTTTTTTTTTTAATTTATATTTTTTATATTTTGAGTTCAGATCAAAAATACTCTTTTGACGTTTGACCTTAACAGCTAACGAAAGAGAATGACTATTTTTATTTACACATATATGAACATACATACGTATATAAGGACATATGTATATATGTACCAATATTTGTAAATGTTTATGTGAATGCAGGGTAATTATGGAAAATGAGAAGATTTTGAATGAATTAATTTCAATTTGTAATGCCAATAAATTAGAATACATTTATTTTTTTTATAAATTAATAATACAGTTATGTAATTATAAATTTACAAATAAATGAATAGAAGTTTTTTGTTTTGAAAATAAGAAAATGTGCGAGTTATTTTAATACTAGCCATATAATAGAGAATACATTTTTGTAAACTCATATTTCTGAGTTTCATAAACAAGCTTGTCATTTTTCGCTGCTTTGTATACGTTTTATTTTTTATTTTTTTAAGTAATTTAATTTGAAAGGATATTGTTCTTTATATGTAATTAGCGTTGGAAATATCAAAGCACACTTACGTAAGATTTACTTACATACATATGTATGTATAGGCGTTAAGCTAGTTTGCTTACTGCCTATCGATGAGGTTGAGCTTGATTTTTAATTATTTACAATCAAATAATGTAAATAAATGTAAATATAATTGTAGTATTTAATTAAGATCTCTCTGTTTTTCTTGGTCTCCTAGTTACATTTAACAATGGCAGGTGCTCACATAAGGAGCATTTTATATTTATTCATAATTATAATTATTGTACATAACCTATAAAAGCACACATACTATCTGTTTATCACATCTGGCGCCGTGGCTGATTCTGTCGTTGGTGGTGGTGGTAGTAAGTTTTCTTTTAGTGAATCCTCATTTTGTAGTACCATCTCACCACCACCTGGACCTTGATTGAAGCCCAACAGTGAGACGACTTCTTTTTGTGGCTTACGCAGCGGCGTCAATGCTATCGAACGCGTCGTACTAATCACAATTGGATTGAGTAAGGCATTTTTACTCTTTGGATCTCTACACAATTGTGACATGTATTTTGTTGGATACCAACACATAAGCAGCACGCCAATGGCAAACATAATGCCTGTAACTACCTGACCCAATGTTACTATTAATGGCACCAAAGCGATTTGACTGGCGATTTCTGGCGTGACGCGCACCCGTTCCTCAGCCCACATGAGTGGTATGAATGTGCGTGGAATGTTGTGGTAGGGCCTGTAGAAAAAAGAAATTTAAAAAATGAATACATATCAAAATATATATTTTTATTGCATTTCAATTTAACTTACGGAAATCCCTTTATGGGCGACATCAAATAATTCGCTTGAAAGCCACCGCCCACATCCATGGGCACACCACCGTTCGGCTCTAACGTCATGTAGAACTCATGTTTTGCTGGATCGGGTGAGAGGCCTTCAATTGCCTCCAAATAGCTGGGATCCGCTTTGTAAAAGTGTGGAAATGATGTGTAGGTTGGTGAATTATACTGACATGGACCCAAATTCATAACGCCTGATTTTTCACATTTACCATTCACGCAAAAACACTTCATTTCTGGAAAGAGTGTGCCTTCAGAGAAGAATAAGAGTAAAAGTTATTAAATTTTATAATAAATTCTAGCAATATTTAAATTGAAATACAAATAAAATTGATTAGTAGTTATTTAAAAGTAGTTTAAATGCGAAAACGAATTTAAAATAATATCTATGTACACATATAAAATCTATAATATATATATATTTGATTTGTAACCGCTGTATATACATATGTATACACATATTACTTATTTTCGTAGAAAATGAGAGAGCCTTGAATTTAAAACTGAAAAAAAGGAATGTAATGTCCTAAAACATTATAAAATTTGTCAACCCGCTCTGATCTCCGGATTAACAAAAAAAGATATAGCTATAAAGCATGAAATAACTTTGTGTAAACTGGCCTTTAGCTTTATTTCTATTTTATTTGTCTGCACAGAGCATAACTGCCAAACTAAAACAGCTGATCAGCTGAGTGTTGAAAAATATCAAAAGTGGCGCTTTGTGCGAAAACCGGAAACGGAACAAGTTTGAAAACGCATAAATTTCATAATAAGTTCTAATATTTTAGTTTTTGTTATTCCTTGCAACAATTTATTTCAGCATGTGTGTAAATCATTAATTGTGGAGGTGATTTTAAATATTAATTTTTGCCGCCGCGCACCAGATACAAATTCAGCACCAATGTAGTAAATTTAAGGTGCCTTTACTGATATTTGCTGGAAATTCGAGTGAAAAGTGAGTGATTTAATTTTAAAATCTCTACATTTATACAAAAATAATTTACATTTACACGTATACGTCTTTTAACATCTTCAACTTACCATTATCAAGTGCGCGTTCGGTGGCTGCATATTTATACGCCGTAATCCCATGTACTTTCACTGTCTGAACGTAATCCAATGGTACGGCGCGACACAGATTTTGTAAAAAAATTTCTACAGTGTCTTTTGGTGTAAGATTCGGTGGAAAAAATTCACCCATAGAACCTCTAACGCGACCACATTCACCCTCATAGATGCCGGTGTGATTTTTGTGATTCCATTCGTGAATTTGACCCATTTTACGCAGATCATCCAGACCAGTGTAAATATTAAAGTGACCATCATATGTGGAGCTATCGTTGCGCTGCAAAATAAAGATGGATTTTATATTATTATTTGTATATATTTAAATAAATAACACTTACCGTATATAACCAGCCGACACGATCGAATGGCACGACAATATCATGTGCAAATTTTGATACAAAACTACCCATTGTTACTAGCGGATCACTATAGCCGGCAAATATCCACTCATTAGCAGTTTTTGTTATTGATATATCTTCATGATACATTTTTAAGACATTACGTAAGATGCTCTTTTGAAAAAATGAGCCATTAGAGGCTTGTAAAGCGGCGCCCTATAATGAAAGAAACAATAAAAACACAAAATATTTAAGAAATATTTTATAGAAAATTAATGAATAGCAAACACTTACATGCGACACTGTATTCACCGAGGTAACGCGATCGGTGAGTTTTCCCTTACTATTCGCTTCATCGAAATAAAACGCCGCATATTTACGATACGATACCGAATTATTCTGTTCATGCCACACAATATCGACTTTATCGGGATTTTCACGAAACCGATATGGACCCAACTCCTCAAAACGTGGCTTCTTGCCCGAGCCAACGTAGAAGTCTTCTGGATTGGTCCAATTAAAGAGGTATACATCAAAATTAAGTGGCAACGGTGATACTTTCCAACCTTCATAAGCAGGTGATTTCGGGCTTAACGCCATTTCCTGTGAAAATAAAAAATTATAATATTGAAATATAGATAGTAATCAACATTTTAAATAACAATGTACGAGTAATTATAATTATAGTTTCAATTTTATTCATGGGAAATGTGACTATAATGCAATTTTATATAAAATTTCACGCTAAACTTTTAATTGATTAATAATATATTAATGAGGTAATAAGATTCCCACTATCAAACATATGTATTCACACTTGATAATGTACTCGAATTTAATACGAAATACTTTTAGGTTAACGGTCACGCGAGAAAATAATAATTTATTAGAAGTATTACTCAAAAGAACTGAGAAAATAAAATTTACATAATTTTAGTTATGAAAATATATTTTTTAGTGGTAATCTCACATTTCTCTTTAAATTCAGTGCATTGGCGCTGTAAAGCAGACAGACAAATTGGCAAAAACAATATATAAAAAAATTGATTACTCCTTGAACTTTTGATACGACATTTCAAACATGTGATACATGTATATTTACAAATGCATTTAACTTGCATACATATACATATGTTGGCAAGTATTGAAAAAAATTATAAAAAATTAAAACTTTTCATAAAACACTAAAAAAAAGAAATATTTATAAAAAATAAGATTCATAAAAAATTTCACAATAAAAAATTAATTTGATCGAATTTGTAACCAAGCGACTCGATTTACACACAAACTCGTACGTGTATGTACGAATGCGTGTTTCTTCAGAATATGGGCGTTAAAAAGCGCACAAAAAATTTTAATTTTGAATAGTCATGTGAAGAATAACATCAATATACTTTCTAATTGATTGATAATTGAAAATTTAAAGTGATAGACATGCATATATGCATACATGCATGTGTGGCGACCGCGATAGCTGAGCGGTTAGCAGTGCGTACTGTCATTCGGAATGCTGGGGATCAAATCCCGGTCCGACCAACGAATTAATTTAAATAAAAGATTATTGAGTTAAATTTTCGAATTGCGTTCGCAGCTCGGCAGAGAATGTTAACCCCTCCGAATGCATTTCTGGCTTGAATTAAAAGCTTCTAATAAAAAAAAACATCAGCCGTTCGGAGGCGGCTTAGTATAAACTGTAGGTTCCTCCATTTGTTGGAAAAATATCAAAACGCAAAACCACATATTGAAGGAGAAACTCGCTATTTTTAGCTACCAGAAACGGGACTTTTTACTACATGCACATAACGATAAGACCAATAATTAGCAATAATACTAGGAAAAGACTTGTTTATGGTTAGTGAATGCGGGGAAAAGTAAAAAAGAAAATTGAAATAATATGAAATAAAATAAAGTAAAACAAAAACAGAATAAAAGCAAAGAAAATAGCACAGATTAAAATAAATAATGATAAAATATAAATAATGCAAAAAATAAAATAAAAATGAAAAAAATAAATAAATAAAATAAAATAAAACAAAAAAAAACTAAATAAAAGATAATACAATTCAATTGAAATTAAAATGAATCAAAATTAAAAAAATGATGAGGCATAGAAATAAATAAGAATAAAGAAAAATAAAATCAAACAAGATAAAACATTAATAAAATAATTTTGGTTTATACAAAAGAAATAAAGCAAGACAAAAAAATGTATAAAATATAAAAAAAATATATATACAATATAAAAAAGGCTAGTTAAATAAAGTAAAATAAAATAAAACAAAATAATTAAAAAAAAAATTAATTACAATAAACTCAAATTAATTAAAATAAATTAGAACTATATAAAAAATAAAGTGAAAATAAAATAAAATAATATAAAATAAAGCTATACAATAAATTAAGTGAATTAAATAAAAGCAAAATAAGACAAAACACAATAAAAATAAATACATTAAAATAAAGTAAAAAAAAACAGAGTAAAAGCAAATAAAATATCGCAAAATAAAATAAAATGAAAAAATATGAAATAAAAGGAAGTAGAATAATTAAATAAAAAAGGAATTAAATAAAATAAATTCAAGCAAACTAAAATAAATTGGAAAAATGAAATAAAATACAATAAAATAAAATAAAATTAATAAGCAAATAAAATAGCACAAAATTATAATAAAAAATAGAGTTAAATGAAATAAAATGAAAAAATATGAAATTATAAAAGTAAATAAATAAAAATAAAAATAAAATAAAATAAATTCAAACAAACTAAAATAAGTTGGCAAAAATAAAATAAAATACAATAAAATAAAACGAAGTAAAATTTAATTAAATTTAAAAGAAATTAAAATAGCACAAAATAATAATAAAAAAAATAAAAAATTGAGTTAAATAAAATAAAAAAATTAAATAATTAAATTAAAATAAATTAAAACTTATTGGTAAAAAATGAAATAAAGTAAATTAAAATTAAAGAACAAAATTAAGCTAAATAAGAACAAAGCAAATAAAATAGTAAAAAATAAAAGAATTTAGTTTAAAATAAAATTAAGTAAATTTGAATATTATAATAACTAAAAAAAAGTTAAAAAAAAAATAAAATAAAAAAAATTAAATGAAATAAAACGAAATAAAATTAAAAGAGCATAAAATAATAAAACATAAATAAAATGAAAATGTAAAAAAAATCAAATAAAATAAACTAAGAAAAATTAAAATTAAAATATATAATAAAATAAAATAAATAAAAATAGCTAAAAATACAGTACCGAAGGAAATGTGTATTTACCCAAATAATATATTACATGCAAATCAACCTACTCAACTACGATTAGTATACAATTCGTTATTTTAACATTTAATTTGCAGGTGTTCGGTTTTCATTAGAAGATAAAGCATATTCAGTGAAAAAATATCATTTCCGCACACACACATATATACATACAGATATACTTTTGCGCAATATTTGTTCAAAAAGCAATAACTGTATCAAAATTCGCACATTGATTGTGTCGATAAAGAGAAAGCATTATTTAGTAAATCCAGCCATAAAAGCTCTTAATATTATCGACACATGTTTTGGATTCTTTTTTTCTTTTTTCTTTTTTTTTTTGATAATTTTACGAAAATATGTTACAAACACATATAATCTGCAGGTAGGTTATCAAGAATTAAAAACATACAAACATTACGTTATGAGTATTTAGTTTTTTTTTTATGTGAAGTAAAAAAATAATAATAAAAAAGTTAAAAATGTCATCTTCTTGATTTTAATATACAAAACGTGTACACCATTAGCGCGAGGATTTACATTAAGATATTCGAAAATTTACTCAATATAAAAAATGTAGCTTTTTTCTTCTACTTTTCAACACAATTCAATGCAATTAAACTGGAGCTTCAATAATACAAATCAGTTTAAAAATACATTTGAATATAAGGGTTTATATGAGCGCTGTTTTGAAGAGATCTGCGATGGACGGGCATTCATAATAAAGCTGAGAAAGGTACGTATCTTATTGCTTTATATCTTTTTATTTTCATTTCAACATGTGGCATCTTGCAGCTCACGCCAAATTAGCTCAAAATCCAAATTAATACTCACTTATGAGGTCAATTAATTGATGGGTTTTAAGTGATTCGCTGCTAATATTTTTTATTTAATTTTTCTTCAGTCTAAATATTAAGTTCCTTTTTTGTTTTTGTGTAAATGAGAGAAGAAAAATTTGAATTGCCTATAGCAAAAAAAAAAATTGACGAATGCAAATGACCAAAGTATGGCATCTCCAAAAAAAAAAAAAAAAAAAAAACAGCTGACTGGAGATGGCTAAATTTGACATTTACGATTCAACAAAAATCAATTCAGATGTGGAATAATTGACTAAAAATATTTGTATCTAAGTAGATTTAAAGATACACGAAAATGCATAGCATTTGTAAAACTAATAAGAAAATTTCATAATATTTACTCAAAATAGTGATTTACTCGTTTGCATGTGCCAAACGTATGGTATCTGGATATCAGACTCAGTTTGGTCGGAAAGGTCAGACCACAGAATATAAAACAATTCCGGAAACGTTGCAAATCGGCTATGGGTCAATGTCATTTTAGAAAACACGTTCATGCAATAAAATTTTTTAATTACAAAAACGTATAAACTCACTTTAATTTACTATAAAATCAAGTTCATAACTAGGAAAAAAGGCTAAATATTCAAAATTAAGAAAATAATGCTCTACACGTTTAAAACTTAAGTGCTTGTAGTAATAAATAATACTTGAACTTTGAATTGACGAGCATTAGCCAGACGAAAGTGAATAACTGCAAGTCTTCTGCTTCTAAAAAAAAAACAAGTTACAGAAATTCGCATTTCTAAGAGACACAATTATATGAGTCATTGCTTAATTACCCAAAAACCAAAGTTAATAATAAATGTTATCAGCGAGATTACTACTGTTTTCTGTTTTCAAAAAAAAATTTTTTTTCTGTTAAAGCAAACTTTATTGCTGTAACTCTGAAGCAACTAGTAGATATGAACAAAAAGTAAAACTTTTTTGCAATTCTTGGGATTTTCATAACATAAAACACAACACACAGGTGTGCCCAATTACTGATAAGTCAAATGTTTTTGTGATAAAAATGCAGCTGTTCAATTTTGTCCTACAAACTACAAAAGATGATTATGCATTCATGGCTTTTTGGTATTTACTGATTAAATTTAAAGACTTTCGAAATAGGTGTAATGGAGAAGAACGTCATCGGACTAATAACAGTGTTGTATATATCAAGGAAGTGAGATTTGGTACAGTAATGCATTTTATAAGACTTAAAACAGATTTATCTCAAACTAAAAGGTTTCAGAAGAGAGCTCTAGTCCAGTCTGTAGTGATGAAGAAACCACGCAAGATGGCGAACCCGAAACCACAGTCGATGACATTCTATCGCCGGACTATGACGAAGTTCGGACACCGATCGGCTGCTTGAAAGTGTAGCTTTTTTTAAGTTAAGTTAAGAGTCAGAGGAATCAATATTTTTGGAAATGTGTATTAAAATCGTTACACAAAGATCTAAAAGGGTTGTGCTTTCCAAAGTTTGTTCTGCATCAACACAATGAAAGAGGGCCTAAAGTGTCTAGATGATCTTAAAATGAAGATAAATTTAAGCTCGCTTAGTACGAATGGGCTATTGATAACACCTCTTATCAATTTAGTTAAAAATAAACGATTTGTAAGATATTCATCATGAACCAAATGCTGGAAATGACCTGTGAGAAAAAGAGGCACATACACCAACTCTATGTCGATTTTAAAGCAGCCTTTGATAGCAGGAAAAGGGATTGGTTTGTTCTATACTGAACATAGTTTCAGACTCTTTACCGCGTGGCTTCTTGGACCTAACGTTGGAGTAAATAATTCGAATAGAATTAAATAGAGAAGCTACTATTTTCTATAAGAGCGCACAACTGCTGTCAATGATAATTACTTCATTGGCCTCAACAGCCTCGCCATTAGTTCAACGCTATCCAGATAAGTCAAAGAAGCGAGACACATAGATCTGGTCGGCATAGTCAACATATTCGCTCCCACGTCATAGTTGACAGTCGTGTCGATTTAGTTTTTTTCTTTTGTACCAGCATCAAGGCCAACAAAAAGTATATCCTTCAAATCGAATACAGAATCTCCTTTTCAACAGATGCTACTAGAGGACTTAGGGGGCAACTGAAAAGTGACAAACAAACGCAAAGCTCTGCAAGTCGCTGAATATTTTGGATTCTTGTCAAAGGTTTTGCGTACGGGTTATGATCCTCTTGCAGACAATTCAACGATGAGTTGTTTAAGAAATCCGACGAATATCGAGAGTATTGAGATGCCGCGGTAGCCGAGTGGTTAGCATTGCATACTGACTTTCGGAAGGTTCGGGTACATATCCCAGCTTCGCCAACATCCAAAAGTTATGGAAAATTAATTTAAATAATAAATTAAATTAAATTTTCTAATTGCTAAAAACATTAAGACGCAAAATGGAGAAGGAGCACGGCCGAAAAATCGCTTCAGCGGCTACAAAGCCCCAATTATATACATATTGAGAGTGTTCGATGCATTCGGTGGAGGGATGACGTGAAGAAGAACTTGGATCCACTTGAAGGTACAGGTGTGCCAGAATTAATCAAGAGACATTAAAATTAGTTTATGTTAAGTTAGGTTAAGTTAAAGTGGTTATCGATGTGTAAGCATTAATAAGGTGACTAATCTTCAATATCCATCCACTTGTATTCCTTTATAAATTTCATTAGATAATTTATCTTGTTGCCTGCTGCTCCTGGATATCGGAAGCTTGTTGTGTTCAAGGCAATGCGTTCATATGGGAGATAAGAGACCGTTTCTTGCCTTTCATCGTTCTTACAGCTTATACAACATCTATTTTGAGAGAGTATATTTCGCGGAACCTTTCTCTGCCACATGTCGGCCAAATTTGTGATTCCATCTTAATTATGCTCATAAGTATAGTCTTAGTGTAGCAGTTTCTATATCGCAAAAGACATATTAATGTTTGTCAGGAGCAATCTGTTTGGTCGTGCCTAGCCTAGCAAGTTCGTCTACCGTACAATTTCTCTCTATGTCCCCTTGACATAGGAGAGGCAATCTGCTCAGTTCGGCCATCCCTTTTAGAGATCGGCCACAGCCCAGTATAATTTTTGAAAACATTGCAAAAGTGTTAAGTGATTTATTCGCTGCCCAACTATCGCTACAAATAAATATATCCCTGCTCGCGAGCTTAGTTCCAATCTAGTTTACTGCCTCCATAATGGCTAAAATACACTGAAAGGCGTGCTTTTTTAGAAAACATCTCCTCCTAATCTGCTCCCTTTGGCGAAGAGTGGCTAGCGATACAGTCTGAAAACCCACTAAGTCCAATAGTAAATTATAAAGAACCACATTTACTTCATCTGACGTGGTCTCGCGCCCACTTTTTACGCTAATTATTGCTGATTTTTGAATTGAACGGAGTTAACCCACAACATATGTAAAGATCCAGGAACAGATTTTAACGTTTCATACTATTTCTTACCGAATATCTCTGGTATACGTATAGAGGGCGCCTTCTACTGCGTCTAGAAATATCACCTTAATTCTGAGGCCTAGGTCAAGCCCATTTAACCTTTTACTGAATAGAACGAGTTCCACCTTTTCAGTAAAATATCATAGAGATAAATTCCGACCAGCAAAATACCGCTTAATCAGCTCATTGTTTTTAGCCGATTGCAGATGAAACTTTTTTGTTTTGGATACCAATGAAAATTTCTCTATTCAATAATTTTTTTTTATTAAAAAGCTAAAATTTTTGTTATATTAGATAATTATTGAACTTCTTTCGAGGTTTTAATTCGATGTAAAAAAAAAATTAATAAAATAAATATAACTTTGGAGTTGCGTTGGCACCAGCGTTGCTTATGTGGGAAGTTTTGTAGAGTTGCACGTATTCATGTTAAACGTCAAAGTCGATCTGTCAAGCTACCCGGCGCAAAAATCTTATCTGCCATGGGTTTTATTGCACTTCTATTTTATTTTTTCCTTACACAAACTCAGCATATTCCCTAATTGGTCGCTTAGCCGAATGGTAAATAGTGCTTACTAACAGGCGGAAGATCAGAGTTCGTGTACTGGTTCGATCAATATCCAAAATTATAGAAATGCTTCTCATAAAATTCTGTTAGCCGTTCGGTGGCCTTGGAATAAACTGTAGGTCTCTCTCGATTTGTTGGAAAAACTTCAGCGGTTACAAAACGTTTTATATATAAATCTATATATGTACGTATGTATATGCACATAAATGTTATATATTATATTTATATTTGCTATGGACTTACCTTACCGCGCATGCGCGTGAACATATCAATCCAATTTGCGAACAAATAAACGCCACCGATGAAGAAGAGTGCGCCCAGCGCAATAACTCCAATTCGCCAGATTATTCCGCGATATGAACAAGCCATCTTTGAGGTAGTTCCGGTCGAGTGGTATGACTGTATGTTGTTGTAATTAATTAAATGAAAATCTGCTAGAACTTCACGCAACGCGGCGTAAACGGAAGCACGCGCAAGGATTGCTACGTCGCAATCGCACTACACAAACGCACACACTTATTTACACAACTGTCTTTAGCGTCGCGTCTGTCGGTTACGTGTTTCGAAACTGGAAAAACAAACGAAAGCAAAAGAAAGATACTTTTTTAGACACTTTACTCGATATAACAACTTGTTTGTTTTCCAAATGCAAACACCTTAAAACTATATATATGTATGTATAAATGTATATGTATGTATGTATATATGTATATGTATATATATATTATTTAATTCGCTTTATTATATTTCGCTATAAGCGTCCGTTCGTTCGCCTCCTACAATTTAGACTGCTCATTTGCTAAATTCACCGCTAACGCTGACGGTCGAATCGTATAACTACACTCATATTCTTATCGGTAATTATGTGTAGACGCTGAAAATTCCACTGATAAGCAAATAAGCGTAAGCGTGCGCCAGAATGTCATGTTGGGCGTTGAAATTTATATAAAATTTCTGGCAATATTTTGAGGTGAACGAGACACTTTTACTATTTTCAAGAAAAGGCTTAAAGTTTGAGTTGACAGCGAGAGAGAAAGGAAAAGAGAGAGAGAGAGAGAGAGAGAGAGGGAGAGAGAGAGAGAGGGATAGAGAAACTTTATCTTATCTGCTTGTGAGTAAGTTTGGTATCAAGTAGTGAGGTGGGCGCTAAAAAAAAAAATCAAAAAAACTTGTATGTTTATAAAACGTTATTGTCGTACATACATATGTACTTATACATATACTAATTAATCAGAGTTTTAAAAATGTTCCACTTAATGGGTATGATTCACATCGTGTAGTGAGTAATAAAATATATGTAATGCAAATTTATACTTTGGGTGTGCGTGGATTCAAATTTGTCTGGATGTTTGTATGTATATGTTTATAAATAATTAAATGTAAATATTGCTGATAGCACTATTTTCTTATCACAATGACTAGCAGTTTTCACAATCTATTCACTTGGATATAAAATCAAAATACAAAATTAATCATTAATAATTTGATTGTAGACTCAAGAAAAGTTTAATAAAAGAAATCCGTTAGAAACTTTCGCTATTATAACAATATGTTGTAAAGAGTGATCCGGTAGCATTATTAGTATTTCAAAACTGTTTTACAATTATTTTAATTATTTTTGCTATTATTTGAAAAATTGTTTATTTTATTATTATTCAATTCAATTAATTATAATAATTAATTTAATTTTTTTTATTTAAAAAAATATTTATTAGGTGTACAACTTTGCTTTCGCAGTTTTTTTCCAAAATTATAAGCTTTATTGCGAAAAAGTGCTTACAGATATATTATTCAAAGTATTGTCCTTCGCTAGCAACAACTTTCTCCCATCCTTCCAGCAATTTTCTTATTCCGGCTCGAAAAAAGGAGTCCTCTTTTGACACTATCCATGAAGCAATCCATTTTTCCAATTCCTCGAAGGATTGAAAATGTTGATCTGCCAGGCCGTGTGCCACCGAACGGAATAGGTAGAAGTCAGAAGGGGCGACAACTGGGGAATACGGCGGGTGGGGCAAGATTTCCCATTTCAGCGTTTCCAGGTACTTTTTGACCGCTTTTGCGATGTGAGGCCGAGCATTGTCGTGTTGGAGGATGACTTTGTCATGTCGCTCTTGATAATGTGGCCACTTTTCTTTTAGCGCGCATCAGTTGCGTTCGGTAGCGATATCCTGTGATGGTTTCACCCGGTTTTAAGAGCTCATAGTAAATCACACCGAGCTGATTCTCTTCCACCACCATGTTTGTCTTCGACATCGAAATCAAACATTTTTAAAACGTTGAAACCACTCCCAACACGTTCTTTCACTCAGAGCAGCATTACCGTAAGTTTCTGAGAGCATTCGATGCGTTTCAGCTGCATTTTTATTCGAATGGCGAGAATTAGGCACATAAACGGACATTTTCGAGCGTGTATAATACGAAAACAAGAACAACTGTCATTGAAACGGCGATGACAATTCGTTAGGCACTGTCCACACTCACTTCAAAGGCATTATCATCTATGTATTTCAACCAGCCTCAGACGGTACAGCCACCTATCGGAAAACGGCGGTATACCGTGTATACCTGATATTATTTTATTTTAATTGATCTTATTCGATTTTTTTTTTTTCATTTTATTAGTTCATTTTTTTTTTAATTTTATTATTTTGTATTATATTATAACCGCTGCGGTTGGGGTTGAGTGCTACAATGCGAATGGTCATGAACTCGAAACTTATTTTATTGTAATTTAATTAAAGGCTGGTGGATTTTTTATTATTCCCTACCAAGATATTTGTAGTAGAAGAGATAGACTGATCAGAATTTATACCGATTTGAGCAGAATGGCGAGCCTGCCGTCTTTTCACCTGTTGGTAAGCAAACTTGGTCTCTCAGTTTTTGTGTTATTTTAACCAAACTTAGTACACAGTTGTATTCAAACGCTGATTTGTCGGAACCGGCCACATCGGAACATTCAACATATCGCCTAGATACAATCGATTTTCAAAATATGTATTTATGAGTAATAAATACTTTAATAAAACATTTAAGAATATGAAAATTAGTATTCTACACACAAAAAGTACTGAAAACCATCAAAATCGGAGAGGTATATCTTAGAGCCCCCAAAAATTCGTCAAAAGAGCATCTAAGGTAATGCAATTTTCCATTATTCATTTGAGCTGCCTTTACGCCGCTATGTCTGTATTTGGTATCCCCGCAAAACTTATACGGTTCTTTGTCGTTCTTTGATGCTGGAGAGAATAATAAGAGCTGCAGGGCTGAATAGAGAAGTTACAATCTTCTATACGAGTGTACAACTATTGGCGTACACTATTGGCGTACACCATTGATATTGACATTATCGGACTCACCAACCGTGCCGTGAGTTCTGCTTTCTCTAGGCTTAATAAAGAAGCGAAGCGAATGGGTCTGGTAGTGAACGAGGGCAAGAAGAAATACCTCCTATCATCAAAAAACAGTCAGCGCATTCGCGACTTGGCTTCCACGTCAATGTTGACAGTCATAACTTTGAAGTCGTAGATAAAGGAACCAGCATTAACACCAATAAAAACGTCAGTCTTGAAATCCAACGCAGAATCACTCTTGACAACAGGTGCTACTTTGGATTGAGTAGGCATTTGAAAAGTAAAGTCCTCTCCCGACGAACGAAAACCAAACTCTACAAGTCCCTCATCGTTCCCATCCCGGTATATAGTGCGGAAGCATGGAGGATGACAGTATCCGAAGAGACGGCGCTAGGAAATTAAAGAGAAAGGTTTTGCGTAAGCTTTATGGTGCTTTGCGCGTTGGCAACGGCGAATACCGGAGACGATGGAACGATGAGCTGTGCGAGTTATACGGCGAGATTGATATAGTTCAGCGAATCAAGAAGCAGCGGCAACGCTGGCTAGGTCCGTAATCCGTATGGATGCAAATACTTCAGCTTTGAAAGTTGTCGTTGCAGTACTCGCCGGTGGAAGCAGAGGAAGAGAAAGACCTACACTCCGTTGGAAAGACCAGGTCGAGAAGGATCTGACTGTAATTGGTATTTCCAATTGGCGCCAAACAGCAAAGAGAAGAAACGAATGGCGCACTATTGTAAATCGGCTATAATCGCGTAAGCTGTGTCTACGCCAGTAAACTAAGTAAGTCATTTATTATTTTTATTTAATTAAGTTTAATTTAAATTTATTAGATTAATTTGATTTAATTTAGTTTATTGACTTTATTAATTTTTTAGTTAAATTTGTTGTATTTTGTATTGTTTTATTGTATGATTACATTTTTTATGAGTTCTGGAACTGTTTTTGAGCAAATCCAGAGTCTCCTCTTCCGTAATATGCAAACTCTTGTTGATCACTGTGCAAAATACTTTGAATAAATTAATTAATTGTCATCTACATTACAAAATCACTTTTTTGCGTGGGTAGCGGTTGGGATTTATCTCTCACTCGTTTATATTTTTCTCTACAAGCCTTAAACAGATTTACATTATTGAACTGGTTTGACTACTTTTTAATAAATAAATTTCTCACAACAATTTTCATTTTCACCAATGTGCATTATTAAAATGTGTGTTCATAGAATAATTTTATAAATAGTATATTAGTTGTAATAAAAAAGAATATAAAAAAAGAAAATAACTATAAAAGTAACCATTAATAAGCCAATACATTTAAGCTATAAATAAAGAAGCCATTGTATTTATGCTTAGTTTTTCGATATTTTCGGAAGTTTGCTTTGTTGTTTTGCGTAAATAAAATATTGACAAAAATTGTGCTGATTTTTTTCTTCGAAATTTCGGTAATGATTCACCTTCACAGTGATGTTTAAATGATACCCACTCGTAGATATATACATATGTATATCACAACGTGTGTTAGGTATTCCCACATTAGGCAGAAATATAAAGAATTATTTTTAGAATTTTGTTATTCAGTGTTTGCTGTATATATGTAGTTGTTAATAATGGTTGAAAAAAAATATTAAATTTTTTTTTTTAAACTATTTAATGTATTCCAATACAATTAGGGATAATTTTGCCAAAAGTACCGGTAAACATATGCATATAAATACTTCTGTACTCAACATATGTATGTATGTCCCATGCATTGTTTTTTAATTATTATTATTTCTTTTTATATTGGACGAGTGCATAAGTTCGTGCCCGATTTCAAGTGCAAACTAAAATTGAAATTTTTTGAAGAAAGCGCTTTTATTAATCAATTATGTATTCGCCATCATGTTCGGCAATCCTCTCCCAACGTTCAACCAATTTACGGATGCCTGATTCATAGAAATCGCGTTTCTCGTTGAAAAAGGTGTCAAAGTGGTTTTTAACGTCTTCCACATTTTTAAATTTATTTCCATTCAAATTGTTCTGCAGCGATCGAAACAAATGATAATCAGAAGGTGCAATGTCGGGTGAATATGGGGATGCGGCATGTTTTCCCAATTCATCTCCTTCAGTTTGGCTAGGGTCGGGTTTGCAACATGTGGCCTGGCGTTGTCATGATGGAAAAGAACTCCTTTGCGATTGGCCAAAATCGGACGTTTTTCATCAATTGCTTTCTTCAATTCGAC